GTAATTAGAAAGATAACTCTTGAAAATGGACTTTTTACACATGTACCAAATATTTTTTAAATTGGAATTTTTATTTCGTTTAAACATTTTTCATTCAATTTGTCACATGCACTTCATTGAAATACATTCCTTGTCTCTTCAGAACTCATTTTCTTAATATTTCATGCACAGATTAAAAAGATAAATATAGGATATTCAATGTTTTGTAGTTGAATATGGAATTTATTTCACGAGTGGTACAGGATTTTTTTTTTTATTTTCACGAGAGCGAAGCATGAGTAAAATTATAAAAAATCCTGTATCACTAGTGAAATAAAGAATGAATCTTCATAACTCTGCTTTCTCGCCCCTTTTTAAATGCAGAATTTACCTTTTCAAATCATAACATAGTCATTTTAAAGCTAAAGCCTTCAAGCATAGTCTGTATAGATAAACATATAAGATTTTTTTGAGAAAGAGACTTTCAATATATACATGAAATTGATTAAATAAAATCGTATACTTCACTGTAAAATCCTGGCTAAGCCATTATAGCTATGTAGGTCATTGTATTATTTGAATGATGGGGCGGAGCGTCTATCAAGCGTGCGATTAGTGTGAATACATTAGTGTGTGTGTAAAAACCCTCGTATGTTGTGCTAGAGATCGACAAAATATAAGCAAAGATTCTTAATTAAATTATTTGTACGGTTTCTTTTTCTACTAAACTTACAAGTAATATTTGAAATGACTGGCTAAAAATACGTTAACACACAATGGAATCTATAAAACAAAGCATAAACAGAGGATACACTATTTTTCATATGTTAAAAACTTATTTTTTAAAGAGATAATTAATCTGTTTAAGGTTAATACATTTACATATATAATTAGAATTTATTTTATAGCATATATATAATTTTAAAATTCGGGTGCTACATGTACAACAAAAACATGTACTAGGCAGTTGAATTATGATTTTAAAAAAAATACACTGTTTGTACAAAAAATAAATTGTTAAGAAAGTGAAAATCAAACACGTCAGTATCATTGCGGGTGGATAATGACTTTGAATAAAATCCTATTTATTCATGCCAGACAAGTTTATATTATATATGATCTTCTTCATATACATGTAGGAATTATAATTGTTGAAATTCACTTATGTACTTTTTGATTTTAACAAACTCTCTCTCTTCGTGGTAAGATTAATGATAATTCCCTTCAAAATATTTTTAATGCCCTTTTCCTTTTGATTGATTTTTTTCACTTTAAAATACATTTATCAGACATGTGAAAGGGTCATACAAGTGCATTTTATTGCTTTTAAACAATTACATTATGCATTAAAAATACCTGCAAACATGGAATTTTTGAATTTTAGCATTTGCAGATGTAAAAATTTTAGCATTTGCAGAATCATCAGAGAAACCTAAAGCTTCCCGTTATTCAAATTATACGTGCATTTTGCGCAAATGTTTTCATCCATGCAGTGACTTTTGATCTTTAAGGTCTTTTTAGCGTTCCGTATGTCAATTTCTTCCCCTTAATATTTCTCAACTGGAAGTATGCATTTATGCACATGTAACAGTTTATTTTCTAAAGATATGACTTTCTCCCAAAATTTTCAATGACCCATTTGAAAATGATTTGACCATCGATAGCTCGCAGACACCTTACACCTGTGATCAAAGCGCGAAAGTGAATAGATTTGAATCACATGTTCAAGCCTGAGGGCCATAAAACTTAGACAAGCTCACTTTTGATCTCAGTCTCACTTTCTGGGGCACTATTAATTCCTTTGGAAAAAGTGAGACTGAGATCAAAAGTGAGCTCGTCTAAGTTTTATGGCCCCCAGGCTAGTACTTTGTTATTCATGAGGTCAAAGGCAGGTTGAAATTTGTAATCAAGGTGCGTTTACTATAGAGACAGGTACCCATGATTTTGCATCTTTTTGGAAAAAATAAATGAGCACAAGACTGTTTAAATTTTCTTCATGAATGTAAATGACTAGTTTATCTCTTTACATTGATCATATTTACGACAAGTTGGAACATCCATGCGCTCATATAAAAAATTGGCTTGCAAAATGGGGTTGTGGCCTAAAGTCTATGAAAAATTGATGTAAACAACATACCCCTGCCATATTAATAAGATAAATTGGAAGTAAAAATTGAAATTAATAAACTACAATGTTTGATGGAAAGAATGAGGCAAAAATATATAGAAATTAAATCTTAAATTATATTTTTTGTAAATTATCGAGAGGCCAGATTTGGACGTATAAATGATTCATTCTTTCATATTTAACTACAAAACATTGAGTTTTCTGTTTATTATATTTTCTTTGATTTTTCCTTTGTCTCTGTCTTTTCGTAATACAGTCATAGGCTACTTGATGTCATAATTGAGCAGTTGAGACATCATAGCTAGAGAGTTGAAAACACTGTATACATGGATTTAGCAATATGTTTTTGGTAGTTTTGGCAGTTTTATTCTCTGTAAGAATGGTTTATTTATGTCTATCTGGACAAGGAAGAGTTTTTTTTACAACACTCTTTGTTATGGGAAGGGAAATTGAGAGTTTTCCCGCACTCCTGATATTTGTCGCACTGTAAAAGGATATCATTTTGATATCCTTTCACACTGTGACAGGATATCATTTTTATTCAATGAATAAATTACAGTATTTCACTGTTTAAAATGTAATATTATGACAATAATTTTTTTTTTAGGAGAAAACGATTTTTCCTAATAAAATTAATATTAGGTAAACTCATCAACAAAAGAAACACATAGTAGAAACAATGCCCTGAAAAATCTATGATAGTTTTGCCATATTTTTTTTTAGATGGATATGATGCATTCAAGTGAAATTCATGATTTTTAAATGCAATTGTTAACTTTACAGCTATTCTACAAGTCTCCCAGACAAAAAGTCCTGATTTTGCAAAATTTACCAAAAAAATTTTGATCTCAATTTTCATTTGTTGGTTTCTGATGCAATACATTCAGGTTCAAAAGGACTATCAAAAGTGGGGGTTCTTGATATTTTGAATCTGGTTTTATCTGAAAATTGACGTTTTCTAAAAATGCCACATCTAATAAATGTTGCATAGCACTAAAAGGAAAATAGGCAATAAGTTGCAGGGGTACCATAGTCTACAATTGCAAGAGGTTTTAATGTTATGCACAGCGCCATATCTAACCTATAAAACATAAGCCATTAACATTGAACACCCAATGTTCGCAAAAAATACAGTAGACTACGTGTGACAGCAGCAGCACAGCATCACTTCAGAGGATTACTTTAATTGGATGAATGTAACACAATGATGTCATCTAAAGCATTAAATATCCCTGAACTGCACAGATCATCTAACAAGACCCTTTTCAGTTGACTACGAATTATTGCAAGAGGATTATTCATGCCATTGTTCCGACCCCACAACACCCCAAACATCAACTTCAAAGATCTCAGATCAATAGAGTATGAACACAGCATCACCGCTGAACATTTTGGTTTAGCTACTGGTCCAGAATGTTTATCCAAAAGCCTCTTATAAGTTTAAGAGTACTAATGCTTTGTAATGAATGTAAGACTGCCTCCAGGACGTTAAAAAAGTTGGTGGTGGTAGCGTAATGATATGGAAAATGGTATTATATGAAAGTAAGATTGATTTGGTTCTAATTCAAAGGACTTTAATGGAAAAAGGTACTCTAACCATGTTCTACCTACACATGCCCCTAGATAGTTTTCAGAAGACCCAAATAAACAAGAGTTATTTCCCGTTTGCCGCCATCTTGGGGGTCAACCTGGTAATTTTCCCTCTTTGTCCTACCAAATATAAGAGGGTATAGCAGAAATATTTTGCGGAAAATCTTTATGGAATAAATATTATGAAATAAAGGAGGCTCTAACAAATGTATATTTTTAAGAAAAACAATGCTTCCCACCCCACAATTGCCATTATAAAAAGTTAAAGTTGGTTGAATATTGAAGGAATATGAGCATGTTGACCCACAATATGGCGGCCAATGGGAAATAACTCTTGTTAACTTGGGTCTACTGAAAACTATCTGACCAATTTTGCAGCATCCTAGAGCGGTATTGCAATCTCACAATACACATCCACATACGGCTTGTTTGACACTCCCATTCTTGCAAAGCAACCTGTTTCTACCACAGTCATCTAAATCGCCAGATTTAAACCAAGTTAAGCAGCACTGGACAAAATGGATTGACATGATTGGCCAAAGACAATTGCATCCCCAGACTCTGCAACAGCTGACAAAAGCTCTACATTTGGAGTGGGAGAGTATTCCTATACAGTTTTTATTACACACATTTGCTTCCATTAGATGCTGTTTGTGGCTATCCTTTGTGTCTGCATGGGGCATACCAGATAATTTGATCTTTAATGACCTTAAACTAACTATTATTTTAAAATTCTTGAGTAATTATGACATTTAGAAAGTATTCCTGTTGTTAACCACATTTCTGTTTTATCAATATGTGTACATCATTTTATTAAATAATCTTTATGTTCAATGTTCACTAAAATTCTACTATGCGTTTCTTTTTTTGAAGAATATATTATGAGGTATTTTCATTGTGTGTACTGCCTAAAGAAGGTACCCATTATTTGACACTAAAAGTTCTGAAATTCTGGTAATAAATTGTTTTCATTTTCCACTTCTTAAAGCTCTATGCTTATTGTTAATGCCTCTTTAAAAGGTGGTACCACGTAGTGTATGTAGTATAGATTCATTAAAAGTATAAGCTTTAACAATTTCCCCAACACAAGATTTGATAAGGACAGGATTTGCATATATTTTTCTATATAAAGTATAAACTTGTTCCCCTATTCAAAATCAGATTTCTGCTCATCTGGCTCCATTTTCTCAGTTGCAGTTAAATATAAACCCCTCCAATCCCCAACTTTGTTTGGAGAGATGCTAGAGGAAAGAGAGAAATAGTGAATAGAACACTATAGCAGATTAATCGCAATATAACTTACATAGCCCTCTTTCATAATTTGGATGGCCTCTTCATCAGTCAGCTTCATGATATGTGGATTGAGTTCATGATATCCCTTCACAATATTTTCTATCAGAATGTCCATCTCAGTGTTGATTTTCCCTACTTCAAAACTTTCATTTGAGCCAGCTTCCTTTCCTAAACTGTTAGACAACACCTTATTTATTCCAGCAGTCTCTGCATGTGAAGCACTCACTGTTTCCCCTTGTTTGGGTAAAGATAAATCAAGACATTCACTGCTGCTACTGAGATTTAAGGCCTGATCTGAACTCTGTGTATGGATGTCTTGTGATGAGGAATTATTATTCTGCTGTTTGAAGCGTTTAATTTCCTCGATAGCATGTGCCCTCTCTGAAGCAGTGTACCTGCCTTGACGAATTCCTAAAGTGTAAATAATATTTCAAATGAATTAGAAACCTATGGCTCACACTGCTAATCTGAATCCCAATGTTTTCACTGACAACTGTATCCCAATCTTTGGTCCTAATTTGTTAAGTAAATACTGCATTTTAGATAAGCAATTTGCCTACATGTATGGATCTGGACAAGAGGCCAATGGGCAACAGATTCTTTTTCCTATTTATACTATACATATTTTTTTATGTAAAATTCAGTCTCATAATAGGGTCCAAACTACCCCAGCCAGGGTTCAAGATTTATACAATCGTGAATCTACACTACCTGAGGATGCTGATTGTGAGATAAAATGTTTCATAAGATTTTCCTATGTATTCATAATATGTAAAATTTTGACTATTCATTGTGGACCAACCCTACCCCATGGGGTCATAATTTGGACAAATTTGAATCTACACTTCATCAGGTAGCTTTTTTTTTAGTTTCATTGTTATTTACCCAATGGTTTTGAGACTTTTTTAAATGACAATCAGACCCCATCCAATTTTAACTATTTCTCTATACTAGTAACCTTTCCTTGGAAGGGGGTTTTGTCCTTTAAATTGAATACCCCTGGTAACTTGAATCACCTTCACTTAAGGATACTCTTTGCCAAGTTTGGTTGATATTGGTTCATTGGTTGTGGTGGAAAATACTAACAAAACCAAGTTAGTTTAAAAACACAAACATAATAAGCTTTCATTCATATAAACATTCTTCATTATAGCCCTGGTATTTCATTGTTTTTTTTTTTCAATAAGTGCAAAATCTTTACCTTCTCTGCACATTCCACAATCCAAGCACTTCTGCATTCGACAAGCTGAACAAAGAATAGTTTTTTTGCTTGTGGAATTCTCAAGGCATTTACCCCCTTTATTACATTTGTAAGGAATTTTTCTCTGTAGGTATCTTCGAAAAAATCCCTTTAAAAACAACTTAAGCAAATCAAAATCAATGCAATATTTAATTTGTAACAATTAAATAATTATAGGGTTTCATCCACATCAATACTAACATTAGCTAGTACCTGCTCAACCTGAATGATCTGATCACCTGCTTTAATTTCAAGTTAAAAATTAAGATATCATATCTAAGATGATACAATGAGAATGTACGTGTTTCCTAAATACTTTATTATACTTTCCTGTCTTCTGTTCTGATCAGTATTGTTTTTCAGTGACATTGAAATCTGAATCTTAATACATACACTATAAAACTGTATAATAATAACAATTATTTGTTGTATATAAAAATTTCATTACATAACCAAACAAATGTCTGTAAGACATGAATAAATATTGTACATATACACTGTGTACTAATATATTGTGGAAAGGTAATTTTTAACCTTTTAATTACCAATAAATCAAATAACTATCTCAGGCTTCTCCATCATTTGAAATTTTACTGTGTTGCAGAGTTTACGCGAAGCACTAAAATTTAGTGGTATTTTCGTGATCAAATTGGCAACTGAATCACTCTTCATTATAATTACAAAAGAATACATGCACACACTTTTTTTAAAAAACAGTAATTCGTTACACAAATGGTATGTTCGTACATATTGATAAAAGTTAAAGCACATTTTCTGAAAAGCAGAGGAAATTCTGGTCGATATAGTCAAACTACTTACCACTTTTGAAAGTGGAAAGTGAAAATTTTCGTGATTTTTAATTGTCAGTTTTCTCGACCGAATTACACATAAAAAGAAGCATCAGAACAGTAAAATACTTTTAGGATTTCCTTGAAAATATAAACAATTTATCAATTAAATGATTTCCGTAAGATGTTATGTTTGACTTACAGTGCCAATATAATTCTAGAGTCATGGCTCTAGGGCCTATAGAAAATACATATTTTAATTTCTTTTAAATAATACAATGTATTTTTAATGCAACTACCAATTAACCATTACATGGAAGTGTGAAACAAATTAATCGTCTCTGTTCCTTCATGCGTAAAGTCCGGCGAGGGTCTCGTGTGTAAAGTCCGGCGAGGGTCTCGAAGACACATATGGAGAAATGGTGTGCAATTTATTCATGAGATTGCTACCACATGATTTTTTTCTCATTAATATTCATTAGATACTGTATAAAATTGAAATATACTATTTTTTTATATCATATATTGTTAAAACCTGCAAGCCCGTATCATTTTGTATTTTGATCAAGCCTCCGTCATAGTTATATAGCTAGAATTTTGTGTGATTAACAGCTAACTACTCAGAATATCATTTTTTCTTAAATTATTTTGGTCATCATTATATAAAAAATAGTCGTTTTCAAATTTAGAAGGTGGTCATAACTCCTTATGGAATGGTAAATCGTGTATTGTATAAAAATAGACTCTCATGTATAACTTAAATTCGGCGGAAGAACTATGTAAACCTGCAATAAACACTTACATTTCATCATCAAAAATGATAAAAACACCAATTCTGTACTCCATCCTTCATTAAAACAATACACTCTCGCTTCAAATTTTCAAATCAAAAAGGTGGTCGCAACTTTCACTTTGGTATTTAAAATCTTGTCATTTCGGAAATTCCGGTAGAAAATGTAAGGAAAAATCAATTAAACCATCGTCGGAAGAACTTTATCCGAAATAAGTAGGATATAAAAAATTGCAATTCTTTGTATTTTCTCTATATAAACCTTTATTGAATCGGCAGCCATTATAGTTCCAAAATGGCTGTTATGCAAATGAGCAGAACGAACACTATTTCTCCATATGAACTGATTATGCAAGGTGAAGTCCTAATTAAGTGCTTTCCCTGTAGAATTGAAAGACAGTAGAATTGTTTGATTAAAGTTCAGTTAGAGAGAATTTAATATATGTTCCGATTTTCTGATTATCATGGATCTAATGTGTTTGCAAAAATTTTACTGTGTCGCATGCATAAAATTTGAATTGTTACTGGGTCGGAGAAAATTTTACTGTGTCCGGAGCAACACAGTAAAACAGTTCATGGAGAACCCTGCTATCTACAAATAAAAACAAAATTATATAAACGCTGCATTTCATTTCCGGAAATCTGCAAAGCATTTCCGACATTTTTTAATTTCATTTCCAACATTTTATTTTCTCCTGATGACCTTTCAATTATCCAATTAAATGTTCGCTTCGGAGAATTCAGAAGTTTCTCGGAATTCAGTTACAGAAGTGAAAGCTCCAATGATACAGGAACAAAAAATCGTGATCTAGATTCTGTAGCCTGCTAAGAGAACAACCACACTCTTTTCCATTTAGAAATGTAATAAGTATTTGCTTTTGTTTTCTTTGTTTTTAGCTCTTTGTTTTATACGAAACGATAAGATCCTCTCCACACCTACTTTCACGTCAACATTCCTTTTCCCAAATGTCACTGAAATACAATCTCTCTGATTAGTCAATATTTTAAGGAATATTTTTATAAGAAAGGTCACCAGGAGATGACTCTGAATGGGCTTTCTTTAGATCCTTGTGTAGCGATCTATGTGAGTGGATCATAGGATCTGATTTTAATCAGATTGTACAGAACTTTAATTTTTCATAGGTAAAGTCTTCAAATCTGTTACTAAAGGTACTATCTGAAAAATGTCGTAAATGAAAACAAAAAAATGTCGTAAATGAAAACTAAAAAATGTCGGAAATGAAAAGTTGATAATTACAAAAAATTCCGAAAATGAAATGCAGCCGTTATAAAATTACCAAAGTGTCAATGACTCATTTATATGTCAAAGATATGGAGATTTAGACCAAAACCTAACTCAAAAAATCCAACTTATCATGCTTATAGGCATAGGCAAGCATCAATGTTTGTATTTTATGCTTCCCACAATAAAAAGTATCTCAAAGTTGGCAAAATTCATTCAGCATTTTGGAAAGAACTATATGCGGTATTAACCAACATTTGCCCCCCAAAATCAAACTTTGATGGAGTAATATTTAATTAAGTCCTTAAACAGGGGAGTATATGCTGACTTCAAAGCACTGAATAATTTCATAAGTAATGACGTCATATGTACGTAATGACGTCACAAATATGACGTAAATTTCAGTTTTTTATGAATTTTGCAGAAAAATGTACATATTTCGTCGATATTTTAAATAAAAGTCACCGAGCGCATGTGTGTTCAGGATAAATATTTTGATATAATGTGTAGAATGATAATATCAATGAAATATGTCAATATTGTTCCTGAACACACATGCACTCTATAAATTTTAAAGCTTAAATTGTTGAAATTTTGTCCATTTTGTCGTCTTTCTGAAAAAGGATATAAAATCGGACTAGTTTGTGACGTCATAAAAACAGAAATTGTGAATACACTGCTCTGGAACTATAATATTTTCTGTTAACTTATATTTCTCGTACAATTTATTGAATTCAGCACATTTCAGGAAGTTTTCAAAATTTGACTTTTGTGGGGGCAAACATATGCAATATACCGCATATAGTTCTTTGGTAAAACATTTTACTTTGGCATCTTCTTGTGGACTCCCTTTACGCTTGAATCAAAATTAGTACCAGTTTTAACTACAGACGTTAAGCCAGTTCTGGATTTTGATCAGTTCCAAATAACTGTTAATTTATGAGCCGATAATTAATAAACACAAAAGTGTAAACATAAATTGATACCTATGATATGAAGACTTATTTATGAGTGTTTGAAATATGTGAAGTTTTGCTTTTTTGCTGACAGTTTGTGTTTGGTATAGTATCGTATATACGAGGGGTGATCAAAAAGTTTGCGAACTATCCCTATATCTACAAAACCATAATTCAGATTAGAATAAAATTTGGTACAAACATAGTCATACACAAGTTCTATAAATAACATATGCTGTATAAAGTTTTGTTCCTTGTTTGTGACATCACTATATGAAAATGACGTCACTATGTAGATCACTTGTGACAAAAAATGGTTGTCTCAGTCGTGCGCGTTCAACGAACGACTGTAAAATTTATAATATATCTTGGAAATTCTTTTGCAGTAGCGTATAATAATCATAGTTGCCAACTCACCCGATTTCGTCGGGTCACACCCGATTTTTCAACCCATAACCCGATTATTTTTTATGACCCGGCGGGTCATGCTTTTCACCCGATTTTTGCAGACCAACCCGAAAATCTCCCGATTTCCGGATTTGGTTCGTAAATTAGTTTGCACTTTTAACTTCCAGTTACAACCCAAGCTTAGATCTACGTAAACAATGCCGATGGATTATGTAAACAATTAACTGGGTGTTGTTTTGACAAATCAATGTTTGAAGTCAATTAAAATGGCTTCCGACAGAACTAGATCGTTATCAGGGCCAGCAGGAACAAAGTGAACCAAACACATGTCTCTGATTGAACGAAGAAAAAGAGAAACAATATTTATGTATGTATCAAGAAATCTTGGAAAAAAAACTTTCATTCTAGATAAAATAAAGTGATCAAAGACAGTGTAGGCCTAACTTCACATTTAATATATACATATTGCAGTAGAGAGAGGAAAAATAACTTCAAAACTAAAATTGGTATACTTTCAAATTTAGCAGAAACCATAAATGTTTTAAAGACGTTGTCAAATGTTTTCATCTAATTCTTAAAAGCTGTATCTCCTTTTTCATGGCAGGGATGTTGATTAATTTATCGTAACCAATGTAATCACTGATAGTCTTGTGTTGTTGTCGTTGTCAAATCCGTGCTTGAAATCTATGTACAAAAAAAGCGTTTGTATGATTCCGAGTCAAATCACGCGATATCTAGCGAGATTTAATGAGAGTGGCTTCAAAAATGGATACCCAAGCGAACCAAAAATACTTTAGACGCAGCTTTTGTAGAAAAGCGGTAGATTTCTGAATTAAATCGGTAGGCGGGAGATGGAGTGAAAAAGCGGTAGACTCCCGCCTAAATCGGGAGAGTTAACATGTATGCAGAAACTGAAAAGACTTTTTAAAAAAAAATGCACACTTACTTCAGGTCAATACTGAAATATGAAACCTTCAGTTCTCTTTTTTTAACATGTAAATTTAATCAAATTATGTATGAATTTTTTATCATTGTAAATTAAAGCCTTTTTCAATAAAAGACTTCTCAATACACAAATACTTTGTATATATATAATTTCGTATAAAATTTAATCATGGTAAATATGTCGTGAATGTCGTTACGCGTTATGACCAGATTTTTTACTTTCCAAATCTGGTCATGACCAGATTTTGACATGCTGGAGGTTGGCAAGTATGATAATAATTTGTACACAGTTAATTAAGACAAAAGACTTCCGAGAAATCTAATCAATGATTGGATTGATCATTTTATTGAAGGAAGGGAGATGGCTAAAAATGATATTTGTTCTGTTGCCCAGTGAAAGCAAGTTTGAGAAGAAGTGTGTTTTTATTACCGCATTAAGCAATTTGTTATGAAAGACCTCCAATTTACAGTTTGAAAAATAGTTGAATATCTTAACAATAATATAAATATTGAATACCTAAGATATCGTTTACTTTGGATTTTAAACACGTTAGATATGATAAAAGGAAGACACCCATCCTCTATCCACCTCGAATAAACGACTCTCCCGAAAAGGAGGATTTGGGTTTTGATGGTCACCATGCTCATTTTGGGAAAGGATATTCTTATTTAACCATTCTGTTGCCGAGATTTGACCATTTCTGACAAATAAACTGTTCTTGTTATAAGAATTCACTTGCATGGAAAGAAATATAAAACTCGGAAAAATCGTTCAGTTTTTGTGACAGAACGCTTCGGAGCATCCTTATCCTTAACCATATACTTAAACTGACATAATAACTGTAGAAGCATGAAATTTTACAGATACAAATCAAAGCTTATGTGCTTAGTATTAAATTACATCACTCACTTTACAAGCTTCACAGCTGATGACCCCATAGTGATTACCAGAAGCCTTTTTACCACATATTTTACAGGGAGGTAATTCCAGTGGAACGGCATCAGGAATGTACTTTTCTCTCTTTTTCCGTTTCTGTTTCGCTGGTTCTGGATTGTCGGAACTCTGGCTAACATCCTGTTCCTGTACATGGTACTGAGTTTTACCTGCAGACTGCTGGGAGAAGTCACCTGACTGGTCAACATTAGAGTGTACAGTTTCTGCTTCAGAAGGCTGTATTGGCAAGATTATTGTCTCTGTTGAAGTTTCCTCCATTGTCAATTGAATGGCATGTGAATTATGACTTTGTCACTTATGAGATCTGCATACCTAGAGACATAAAAATATCAGGCTATCATCAAGAATTACAATATACTGCAGGAATTAATGTCTATGTCAGATTAGACATTGTGTTGGATCATCCAATGTATGGCAGGAATTAATGTCAGATTAGACAATGTGTTGGATTATCCAATATGCTGCAGGAATTAATGTCAGATTAGACAATGTAATGGATTATCCAATATGCTGCAGGAATTAAAATTAATGTCAGATTAGATACTGTGTTCAATTATCCAATACTTAATAATTCTAAACATTATGATTAGTACTTGACTTTGTATTTTTTAACAAGAGGCCCATGGGCCACATCGCTCACCTGAGAAGCTTTGACCATTCTGTTCTTTACCAGATTTCCTCCTTGTAATACATGATGCATCCCCACCCTACCCCACTGATCATAATTTAGACATTTTGAAATCTACACTACCCCAGGATCCTTCCATGTGCACATAAGTTTCAGCTTTTCTGGCCCAGTGGTTCTTGAGAAGAAGATTTTCAAAGATTTTTCCTATATATTTCTATGTTAAACTTTGATTCCCCATTGTGGCCCCGCCCTTTCCCCGGGGGTCATGATTTGAACAACTAAGAATCTACACTACCCCAGGATGCTTCCACATAAGTTTCAGCTTTTCTGGCCCAGTGGTTCTTGAGAAGAAGATTTTCAAAGATTTTTCCTATATATTTCTATGTTAAACTTTGATTCCCCATTGTGGCCCCGCCCTTTCCCCGGGGATCATGATTTGAACAATTTAAAATCTACACTACCCCAGGATGCTTCCACATAAGTTTCAGCTTTTCTGGCCCAGTGGTTCTTGAGAAGAAGATTTTCAAAGATTTTTCCTATATATTTCTATGTAAAACTTTGATTCCCCATTGTGGCCCCGCCCTTCCCCCGGGGGTCATGATTTGAACAATTTAGAATCTACACTATACCAGTATGCTTCCAAATAAGTTTCAGCTTTTCTGGTCCAGTGGTTCTTGAGAAGAAGATTTTTTAATGACCCCACCCTATTTTTGTCTTTTCTTGATTATCTCCCCTTGTGAGGGGACTTGGCCCTTTATTTTAACAATTTAAATTCCCCTTCACCCAAGGATGCTTTGTACCAAGTTTGGTCAAAATTGGCTCAGTGGTTCTTGAGAAGAAGTCGAAAGTTTACAGACGGACAGACAGACGGACGGACAACGGACAAAATGTGATCAGAAAAGCTCACTTGAGCCTTCGGACATGAATGCCCCGCTGAGGGTATATTAGTAATGCAACATGAAAATTTGAATTCAGTGGCGGATCCAGAGGGGGGGTTACGGGGGTTGCAACCCCCCTTTGGATTTGTAAAAAAGAAAGAAAAATAAGAAAGTTCCAATTTTTTGTTGTGTTTTTACTATAGAAAATGTAAGGTGAAAGCTAATGTTGTAAAATATAAAGAAATTCGGTTGTAAAAACAAAATAAAACCCCATCCCTTTACAAAATAGGATTTTCAGGTTCGGAGATTTATTTTCCTTTCTTTTTCAAAACTTTCTGGTAATGTATACAAGTACTTTTTCCCAGATTGATCAATGTCCCACTTTCAAAAACCCCATACTCCACCCTGTATCGATATTCTATTGAGTTTTTTAACTATATGTATGTGTACAACGTACGTTTTAACTGTTTTCGCCTTCAACCTCCCCTTTTGAAAAATACTTCAACCCCCCCTTTGAAAAATTTCTGGATCCGCGCCTGGAATTAGTGTATGAAATTTAATAAGAATATCTTGAATAGTGATGCACTTGAATTTCTTACATCAGTGTGTATCAGCATATGACGTTTGACACTAATTTCTTAAAAAAGTGAGGTCAAGGTCAAAAAATGATGATGCAGTTTAAAAGCTCTCATTTTGTATCAGAATATGAAGTTTAAAAAAATGGTTTCTTTAAAACTGACTTAAACACAGTTTGATAAAATAAGGTCATTAGGTCGATTGTGGAAAGGTCAAGGTCAAAAATGTTGATGCACTTGAATTGTTTACATCAATACGTATCAGCATATGAAGTTTAACACTAATTAAGGAATACTGAGGTCAAAGGTCAGAGAAAAGGTTAAAGTCAAAAATGTTGATGCAGTTGAATATCTATCATGAATATGTAATTATGTATCAACATATAAAGTTTGATATATTGAATGGTTTCTTAAAACTGACTTAAACACAATTTGATAAAAGTGAGGTCAAGGTCAAAGGTCAAGGTCAAAAATGTTGTTGCAGTTGAATTGCTTACATCAGTGTATCAGCATATGAAGTTTAACACTAATTAAGGAATACTGAGGTCAAAGGTCAGAGAAAAGGTTAAAGTCAAAAATGTTGATGCAGTTGAATATCTATCATGAATATGTAATTATGTATCAACATATGAAGTTTGATATATTGAATGGTTTCTTAAAACTGACTTACACACAATTTGATAAAAGTGAGTTCAAGGTCAAAGGAAAGGTCAGGTCAAAAATGTTGTTGCAGTTGAATTGCTCTCTTCAGTATGTATCAGCATATGAAGTTTGATAACACCATCATGAATGGTATCTTTAAAACTGAGCTAAACACTAATTCCAGAAAAGTGGGGTCAAGGTCAAAGGAAAGGTTAAGGTCAAAAATGGTGATGCAGTTGAATAGCTCTTATCAGTTTGTATCAACATGTGTAGTTTGATAATACCATCATGAATGGTATGTTTAAAACTGAGATAAATGCTAATTTAAGAAAAGAGTGGTCAAGGTCAAAGGAAAGGTCAACATAAAAAAATGTTGATGCAGTTGCATAGCTCTCATCAATATCTATTAGCATATCTTGGATAGTTTCTTTGAAACTGAGCTTTGAACTGAACTAAAGTGTGACGGAAGGACAGCTAGACAGAAGGACGGAAAGACCGAAGAGCGGAAGGACAGAAGACGTACATGACAAACACTACATGCCTCGGCCATACTCATGGCGATAATGAAAATCATCAAATAAGATTCTGAGTATGAATGTACTCTTCAAATTGTTTGCATGATTACATGTTTCTATGTTGTATAACATGTACCTTAGCTAGTGTTAAATCTAGACCCTAAAAAGGGCATGGTAATCAAGGAATCAAAAGGGCACTTTGTGTCGCGACAGGATCTCACGAGGGCACTTTTTAAACAAATGTTAATGTGTTTAAAATTATATTAAACATTTTATATTTATTTTTACATACTTTAACATGTTTAATTACTTTTAATATCCTTTCATATTGAAATCTTTATTCAAACAAGTAATTTAAAGATAGATTCATATATTTGTATTCCATTCATTCATTTTTTTTAATACAAACACATTAATTAGCACACTTGGGCTGACATGACAATTATTGAAACAATAAGAATATAAAAAAGGCATTTACATCCAAATTCTTTAATCAAAAAAGTTGTAGGTTACACTTGAGAAAGTAATGGTATTAATCTAGCTGAAACATCTGCAAAAATTATTAAAGTTTGGAGGTATGATTTATTTTTACCTGCTTGGACTGTTTTATTTGTGTACTAGCACAGTCATTTAGACATTAAATGAAAAAAAAACTTTTTTTTCAGGGGAGGGGCATTTTGAAAAATACATGAAAAATACACCATTCTCTTTACTTGGAAAATATTCTACCAACAAGATCAAGTGAAAACTGTTCTTACTCCCAAAAAAAATTAATTGCCATGTATAATTTGTTTAAAAAAAAAAACTTTGACTTTAATCAGAAACATTGACCCTCAGCTTGTCAAATCTATCAGTTCAATTAAAGAAACTAACTTAGTTTATTGTTTTATGTTTTTAAGCCTTTTATCACATTACATTCCGTTTTTATGGTACACTGTAATTATTTTATTCAGCTAAAATATCCGTTTTTTCTTCAAGTTCAACTATGTGTTTTTTGACACTTTCGGTTTAAAAAAAAACGATCCTGATTTTAATTAGTTAATAATTTACAAGTTAATTTGTCTTTGGTCTTGGGCTAATTCTTGCATAATCAATGCAATCAAATGACAGTTTCTCAAGTTAAATCCTCTATCCTGACAGCCTGAGGCATGTTAATTAGCCAGGTGGCTGTGTGGTGCGTTCAAGCGTGAAGTGATTTCCTGTCGTTGTATAAACAAAGGGATTATCAGCATGCACTGAATAAACAGGGCAGCAAAGGAATATTGCCTAAACTGGGCATATTTTTATTATTTTTGGGTTAGGAAATAAGGGCATGGTGCTGGAAAAAAGGGCATGGCGCCGAGGAAAAGGGGCATGGCGCCACGCCATGCTAGTTTGCTTTAGATTTAACACTATTAGCTGATAACATTTCTTTGAGAAGCAGGTTTTGTGATAGCATGTATAGTAAACTTTGTACTAGTCTGAATTTCTTTTAACTGGCCAGTCGCATGGAGATATTGTAATTTTACTTACTACATCAGCAGGTCTGGTACAATCACTAGATTTAGCTAAGTAGCTGGATTTACCTAGTTAGCTTTATTTACCTACCTGAGGTAGCTTCATTTAGCTACCAAATCAATTTATTTATTTCAGATATAGTATCATCGTCTCAAGCCACGGTCCGGAGTCCGCATATATAGCTCTCTCCTACCCGTGGCTGCTTGATCACAAAAATTGTCGTAATCTTGAATATTTACGCCTCTCTATTGTGACGTCATATTCAGTCAGTGGCAAGTTTTGTTTCCATCGCAATCGAAATCAACAACTGACGTCAACAGTATACAAGAAATATTTCCTTTACTGCGATTGGATATTGTAAGGTCGCGATAAAGTTCATCATCCAACTATGCTTTACTCGCATTGGTCAATATTTTAATGAGCTACGAAGAATTCTCTACTCGTTCAACCACGGCCAGATGGGAGAGGAGCGTACATTTTGGCCGTGGTTTGCGACGATGATATAGTATTAAAAAACATTTTTCTAAGGGTGTGCAGAAAATCTCATTTTGATGCAGTGATCATTTTGAACTTTGAACTCATCTGAAAACAATTCATGAAAAAATCACTCTTGAAGAAATGTCTTTTTCTGCTCAATTGCAGTCAAAGTTCTGAAAGTTTTGGGGCTATGTATGACAGTTAGAACAGTTACTCCTTGAATGAAATGACAAAGAAGTCCAGTTCCCGTTAACATGATAATAGGTCGATAATTAATCACCACAATGTGAAGTAATCATACTAAGCCATGCCTCACCGCACGCATGAGAGAGGACAGTTACCCAAACAATGGAATTACGTTTTGCTCTAAATTGTCCAAATGCAGTCATGTTTTAGCTATCTCTGCTTTGGATTGTTTTTTAAACCTCCCTAGTATAAATATTAATCTGGTATGGCAAACCTTCCAAATGGTCATTTATCCCCTGTTTGGTAGACAATCTCCTATATCGGTGTCGAATTTTACTGACCAAATGGTAGACTTTTTTACTCTATTGCAATTGTTATTAAAATAAAGCAAAAGCGCATTTGCATGGGCATTGGGGAATTTTAGTGAACATATTCCTTGCACAATTAACATAAATTGGCCGAATTTCCATGTGCAATTTCTCCGTATTTTCAGCAAAAACGATACCCATAGTTGTCTGTAATAGCCGAACTTCTCCATCAATCGATCAAAAAAAAAATTATTGTGTCTTTTTAGATAAAAATTCAATTTTATTCAGTGGTTTAACTCTTGATAAGTTAACTTTCAATCTCTATTTGGATTTTTGTCAATATTTGTCTCCATAAAATCCTTCTAAACGTGAGCTCCTCATGCTTTACTGGTATGGTGGGCACTTACTGCTATAAAGTTATATTTTTCTAGAGTTGAACGTAATATTTGTTGTTATTTTTCTTTTAGGATGAAGTTGCAGATTCCATGTGACCTTTTGTGGTTTAATATGTATACTATTGATGAATTTAATATATTTGAAAATGATTTTCAATAAAAGATTCACAAAGTGACTTTTTCAATTATTCTTGTTTTTGTTCCAAGTATATCATTTTAAAACAATAATTATTTCATAATCCAATAGCATTTACTATTGTTAAAGAGAACAAAGACATTGCGTACAAAATAAAACGAAATAAGGGTGAAAACTTATTTCTCTTTTGATTTCCTAATTAAAAATTAGCACTAATGTGCCTGCATAGTTAAATCTGACTTTTGATTGAGTTTAAAAAAAGATCATTGTTTTGATTGGTTTGCACTAATTGACTGGTTGCCCGGGTAATCGAAATAGAAAGTAAAGACATACATGTTAACTCTCCCGATTTAGGCGGGAGTCTACCGCTTTTTCACTCCATCTCCCGCCTACCGATTTAATTCAGAAATCTACCGCTTTTCTACAAAAGCTGCATCTAAAGTATTTTTGGTTCGCTTGGGTATCCATTTTTGAAGCCATTCTCATAAAATCTCGCTAGATATCGCGTGATTTGAAAATACAAACGCTTTTTTGTACATAGATTTCAAGCACGGATTTGACAACGTCAACAACATAAGACTACCAGTGATTACATTGGTTACGATAAATTAATCAACATCCCTGCCATGAAAAAGGAGATACAGCTTTTAAGAATTAGATGAAAACATTTGACATCGTCTTTAAAAGCACAGAAGCTCACAACTTTATCAATAAAGTCAATAGAAATCACTCGATTGACCAAGCCATGCGGCACATCTCTACTTTCGTTTTCGATCATCGCGGGAAATCTGATTTATATAACGAAAGATATGAACTTGTTTTAGATCTAGATTAAACCATGCCATCATTTGTTTTGTTTAAAAACTGAATGAACATTCAGAATTATTGCTTCTAGGCTATTCCAGCAAAGGTCACTCTTCAAAAGGCTAAGTAAAGCAGCCAATCCGTGCAAAATGATGAGCATGAAAAATATTTGAATTTGTACAATTTATGTCAAACTTAAGGTGTTTCTGTCTTCTTCTTTGCTGTTGATATTTAAGATTAATTAGTGTAGGTACCTGATTTCATTTAATGCTCATAATATACATGTATATTACATGAAAGATATCGATAATCCAAGCGTTAAACAACACGCGCGCAATGCTACCGCTTTTGAGGTTTGAATCTCCCTCTTTTTCATCACAATAGGTTAACATGTATGGTAAAGAACATGGTTGACAGGTGCAGCATCGTTGGAGAAGGAGAGAATTTTCTTTTAAAGTAAAAAATGGAAAAATAGTGCACTTGTTTACATACGTTACGTCTTCGTCAAATTTTTTTAACGACTCTGCGCAAAAAATTACACGTTGAATTTTTTATTTTTTTCACTCAGAACAACGATAAAAATCTATATTTTATTTCACATGGTTCAAAATTATGAACACAGTGAACCAATTTTCTCCCCCAAATGGTCAGTAAAATTCGTCACCGATATGGTAGATTGTCTACCAAATGGGGTATAAATAAGCATTTGGTAGGTTGTGCCCAACCTGTTAATAGCGAGCACAGTGAGCTCAATAGACTAACGTGTAAGAACAGAGGAAATTCGGATTGAAATCTGTACATACGTCAGCCAAATTTCTCTGTGAAACATTTCCAGAATTTCTGCACTACCTAATGTCCTTTGCGCTAATAAATAAATAAATTAATATATAACGTAAAGCATAAAAGGCTAGATCAGTTTGTAGAAATCTTTCAAAGAAACAAAAAATAACTCTATACAATGTTTTTCAACCAAAATTGCACTAGGTCTATAGTTTCAAACTGACGCTCGGCTGTCTCCGTAAGCTCCGACGAGCTCTGTGACGTCGTTTGACGTCACAGCTAGTCGAGATGTCTCATGCGGCTTGATGTTTGAAGTGGCTGATCAATTTACTGCGCTCGCCCCAACGGTCACACCGTAAAACATATTAGTAATCTAATTGCGATTTTTTGTATCTTTTAAATAAAAAGAAAAAAATCAAAAAGTTGCATTGAAATAGCTAAATAAAGCTACCTGAGGTAGGTAAATAAAGCTACGTAGATAATTCTACCTACGTAGCTAAATCTAGTTAGAATGATCTACCGTATATACTCTCCTATAAGTCGGTTTTTTGGGAGTTAAATTTTAGACCAGAAGTCTATGTCCGACTTATAGGCGAGTCATAAAAGGATTGGCATTTTTCTGGTCGGCAAAACGTAGTATTCTATAAACATGGTTATCGTTAAATAAAGTCTGGATATATCTTATCATTAGGTTTTATGTATTCTAAGATTAAACGTAAAGTACAAGTATTTATATACATATATCTAATACTTTTTTTATCTTAAGAATGAATTATGATTTAAAGTAAAATATCAACTAAATTTCTAAAAATATTGATTGAAATCAGGTTAAAAACATTAGAACATTTATTAGAAATTGTCATCTGATTCTGACAAAAAGTTGGTCCGACTTATAGGCGGGTCAATGGCAAATTAATCCTCGCAAAATAACCGAAAAAATACAACCGACTTATAGGCGGACCGACTTATAGGCGAGTATATACGGTAACTGTGTCTTTGTACAAGCCCTCACCACAGTTAGAATACGTCCCATATACTTGCAATGTAGCAAATCGGAGCGGATCCACTCCGAAACGATTTTGAAGAATATAAAAGGATTTGCAATGGAAATAACTACCAAATTAATCAAAACAATCCTTTCTGAGACTGCTTATGCCTTTTATCCCAGAAAATAATCCATCTAAAGACGAAAATCCAATTAATTTTCTCAACGTTTTTCTCTCCCTTCAAATTTACCTGCCACGTTTACATTCGGAACTCTCTAGATTGTTCATAGTAAATGCACTGAGTTATAGTGAGTACAAGTTATCGCCCATGTTTCTTTTGCTACATTATGAAGGTGTAGGGTGGTTTCGCGCCGATTACGTGTTTGCGCCGAGTGGTATCACGCCGAATGGTTTTGCCCCGTTTATCTACAGGTAAGATATGGGTAGTATACAGAATGGCTTCCCCCGACTACCTGTAATTATAACTTAGTAGCTTGTAATTAATTAACCCCAAGCGTTAATGTCGTGTTATGTCAGATAAAATCCCATTTTGTATTAATATTATTGTGAGGCCATTTCTAGCCAAATTAAGACTATTTGAACAAATTTTATCGTCTAATTTGGAATAATTTTACTACTGGATGTTAAAATAAATATATTTATTTCACAAATCTCGTTGACTTTTCTTTGAAGATTATCATTGACTTGTTTTTCATTAGATTTACAATATAATATTAAATCATGTAGAACAAGGATTCATCTGCATGAAGACAAATATTCTTATACACTTCCCATTTCATTGCAATTACCTTTTCTTTATCAGTGTTTATAATATCTTATACATGTATTATATATATGCAGGGAGTGTTATTGTGTATAGGCCATATTTATATCAGCCCTTAAAAACGTTGCTTAAATTATTGGTCGTTCATGGTATATATTTCTCTCATCGTTATTTTTAATTAATCTGCTCATCATTAGTGATCAAACGAGTTCACGCCGTTTTTGGAGTTCGTCTAGACTGGTTAAACCGGGTCCGTAGGACAATATCATTTTAAGCTAAATCTAGTGATTGTACTGGTCAATATTAAAGTACATGTGTCTACACATGATTTTTTGGAAATAGGAAAATTCCATACATTTTACCATAGACGAATAAGAATGTCTTATAAATTTATCTTGTTGCTGGCTGTAGAACGACGGTACTCACTGTAAGGCCTTGACTTTGTAAACTTTTATTTTCTTCCGGAAGTAACATTTTTATGATTTCTTGGATAAGTTGTACATTATATGCTTACACTAAAAACTTATTATAATTTATAGACCGAGTAAGTTCCTGTCTAAAAAAAATAATCATAACTTTGTTATTTTTGATTGTTAAGTTGTATATCTTAAAATGTATAGCAGATAAGTTTTTTAACATCAAAACTGTATTTCTCGAGTAACCATATGATGAGTTACTTAATAAAGTGTTGGTAAAATGCGAGAACAGAGCATGCCGGATTTTGATAAATAGAAAGTTTAATTAGAAAATAAAAAGACTCTGGGACGAAGCATTGGGAGAAGGAGGGAGGAATAGTCTCTCTGTTTTCTATTGATATTCTTCATGCACTGTACAGAATAGCTTCGTACTTGCTAGGCAATTTTCTACTTTGAAAAACAGTAACATAAGGCCTACATAGATACTTTAATGCTGTTAATGATCGTGGTCTGGTGTAATTGTCCATTATTTTTATATAGATGACCCTGTAATATGTTTTTTTTTTAAATAAATAAATCCACAACAATAACTCTGCATGTAAATTTTTACAAGCGAATTCGTTATCATGTCGTGAGATAAAATCAAAATTAATTATAATTCATTCTAAAAACAATCTTTTTCATAAACTCATTATAAATTAAATAACCTTAGAATATTCATAGTTTCAGATGAACACAAACTAAATTTTAAAATGATAATAGAATATCACTAACTTCAGAATTATTTTCAATCTGATAACATTATTAAATTCAGCTCAAAAAAAAAATTCAAAAGCTATAGGAACACCCTCACACCCATCTGTGTGCTTGGGCATGAACAGCTGATGGAAAACCAGAATATATTACCCCCCCCCCCTAAAAATCATATGACCAGGGCAGAGTGACCACTTAATTACTGAATACATCTATAAATAGTTACAGAGCTTCAGGCTTTAGGCATGCGCGGATCTAGAGTGGGGGTCTGGGGGTCCGGACCCCCTTGGAATTTGCAGAGATGTTTAATGTGTATACTAAACCAAAGTGACCTTGGACCCCCACTTTTGAAGTCCTTTTCTGAATATTTAAGATAACTTTGACACATCTGCTGAAATTCTGCAAAAGTTAAAGACTTTAAAATAATTATCTTGGTTATTAAATTTTTAATGCCAGAAAAATTACATTTTATGAGTGCAGAAAGGTCAAATAATTGATTATGCGAAGCAATTTGAAACTTTTTCGTAGGTTTAGCCTCCCCCCCCCCCCCATTTTCCACAGATACGCCTTAGTATAGGTTGAAAATGTGTAAAGTGGTGGTGTTTGAAAAAAAATTTTGGCACATTTTAAAATTTTAAAGTTTTTTTTTTAAATAGACTTATAGTTTATTTTGTGCCATGCTTTATTTGGATCAAAATATTGTATGGAAAAGTTGAAAATGTAATTTTTGATTAAGACACATATACCAGTGCAAAAAAGTGTCTGAAACGCGTGATTCGGATCTGTTGAGTGATGTGGAGAATATATAGATATCATAGGCAATTTAGTCGGAAGAGACACAACTGGATGGGGGGGGAGGGTCTGGATATTAATTTCCGTCTGTCTGTCATTCCGTCTAGCTGTCTCTAGTTCTGTCTGACTACAACACTTTTATTTCCCTGCAATATCTCTAGAAGCCTTTGAGATTTTGCCAAATATATACTTAGTATAGACATTGAACATATCTTCTTTACGCTAAAAGGTTTAGCCTCCCCCCAGTTTTTGAGATTTTACCTTTACATTTTCCATGGCCCGCCCGCCTTTCTTGCGATGATACGCCTTAGTATAGGTTGAAAATGTGGCTGTGGCAATCAGATTTAGGAAATAGTTTTGAACATTACATTAAAGTTAGAGATCTGATAAATGAATTTGTACTAGTCTACTTTTTTTTCGAATTTCAAGTTAAAATTCAGCTACACCGTAGCTATGTCAAATTAAAATAGTTAACATTAAAAGTGAATTTGTACTAGTCTACTTTTTTTTCGAATTTCAAGTTAAAATTCAGCTACACCGTAGCTATGTCCCCCCCCCCCATGGCTATGGGACCTGTTTGCATGAAATTTCTCTATTCTAAAAGTACTAGAAAATGTACTGCGTAATATTTCCTTTTTTTTTTTGTTACGCTTGTCAGATTTTTTTGAAGGTACAATTTTTTTTTTTCCTACTTGTTAATCCGATAATGAGCTTGGTTTATAACTTCCCTTTCCCCCCCATGCACCAACGCTTTCAATTTGCTTTTTTAAAGGAGCCATATCCGACTTTGAAAGCATTTTTTATTCAATGTTTTTAAAAAATTATCACAGATATTGAAAATATTAAAATATTAATCTGAGAAAGCCGGAAGTCGGAAATAGGCGGCACTAGATTTACCGTCAGCGAATAAAAAAAACCCACATGGCGTCCGACGATTCCAAGATGGCAGACAAAGAGTAATATTATACTTTTCTTCTGAAAAACTCAAATCATTTTTTTGTCACCAAAGTCATGTAAAGCTCACTCTTTGTTTGACAATTATTTCTGAAAGGGGGAGTTGTTTTCCTTTAAGCTTTGAAAAGATACAGTAATAGATAAAGGCTACAGATTTCCAGAAAGTTCCTCTTACTTTCATTTTTATGAGACACTATTCGTTTAAAAGGAAGACTTCTAGGACATTTTAAATCTTTTCAATATAGCTTTGCGCCTTTGACTTAATGCTTATACTCATCTTCTGTTGTTATTCAAGCTCTCGAACAAAACACAATTTCAGGTCAGAGACAATCGGTTGAGCTCATTTAGCTACGTAGCTAGAATTACCTACCGTAGCTTCAAATAGCTACCTTAGGTAGCTTTATTTAGCTGTTTCATTGCACCTGCAGATCTCTAGCTCCCTGGTCTGAAAATAATTGGGATAGACGATCAAAGAGTTACAGTGCCATCTTATTGCGAAGAGTTGGCGAAAGCACAGTTGATTATTTATTGTACATATATTGATCAGGTCCAGTACAATACCCTGATAAAGGTGTATAGCTTGATAAAGCTATATAGTTTTAACAAGGTATTACAAATACCTTAATCAAGGTATTTTATGTAATGAAAATACAAAAAAAAATTCTAAAATAAATACTGAAAGTCGAGCGCTGAGTTGTCAGTAAATTCACTCATGCAAGTAAAGTACTCATACTCAAAGAAATCAGTATAAAAGCATGTCGTTTGAGGAGAGGTTCTTTTATGCTGTCTTTTGATACCAGCGCAGGTCTGGTACAATCTCTAGATTTAGCTACGTAGCTTGATTTACCTACTTAGCTTTATTTACCTACCTGAGGTAGCTTTGTTTAGGCCCAAAAAAATAATAGTCTTGTTTCCTGCTACCAGTCAGAAAAAAATAGGGTAGGTAGGTAGGGAAATTATTTTATTTTTTTTTTTTTTTTCGAACAGTATTTTTTGGATATATGAACTACTACAAAACCAATTGAACATGTCATAGCTTAGATAGCTAAGGTCAATATCATCTTTCCAAGTGAAATTCCATGTCTCAAGTGGAATTTTATGAAAGTCCATATTTTAAACATATATTTCATGAAATACAACTTGAGAATATATAATTTTTTTCACTTTTGAAACATGATATTTCTAAAATTTAGAATTTTTTCCCCAAAAGATAAAAAAAAAACTTCAGGGTCGGGTGCAAAAAATAGGGTAGGTCGGGTAGCAGGAAACAAGACTATTTTTAATTTTGGCCTTAGCTACCAAATCAATTTATTTAGATAAAAAAGCATTTTTCTAAGGGTGTGCAGAAAATTTCATTTTGATGCAATGATCATTTTCAACTTTGAACTCATCTGAAAACAATTCATGAAAAAATCACTCATGGAGAAATGTCTTTTTCTGCATAATCAAAGTACTGAAAGCTTTGGGGATATGTATGACAGTTAGAACAGTTACTCCTTGAATGAAATGACAAAGAAGTCCAGTTCCGGTTAACATGATAATAGGTTGGTAATTATTCAGCACAATGTGAAGTAATCATACTCAGCTACACTCACCACACATAAGAGAGAGGAGAGTTACCCAAACAAAGGCAAATAAAGCTATATAGGTATAACTTTACCTACGTAGCTAAATCTAGTGATTGTACTGGACCTGCAGAGTACTTTTCATGCACGAGTGAACACATTGACCACAACTCAAAATTCGACTTTTTAATTATACCCCCCGCAAACGAAGTTTGGGGGGGTATATAGGAATCACCTTGTCTGTCCATCTGTCCGTCCGTCTGTCTGTGCAAACGTGTCCGGTCCATATCTTTCTTATGGAGGGACTTTAGAATCTACTACTCCACACAAAGATTGCCCATGACCTAAGGGTGTGTCATGACCTTGACCCAAGGTCATTCGGGGAAGTTCAAGGTCACTGGAAGAAAAAGTTCATAATTCGTGTCTGGACCATATCTTCCTTATGGATAAACTTGGTAGGTTCTCATTTCACACAAAGATTGCCCATAACCTAAGGGTGTGTCATGACCTTGACCCAAGGTCATTTGGTGAAGTTCAAGGTCACTGGAAGAAAAAGTTCATAATTCTTTCCGGTCCATATCTTTCTTATGGATAAACTTGGTAGGTTCTCATTTCACACAAAGATTGCCCATGACCCTAGGGTGTGTTGTGACCTTGACCCAAGGTCATTTGGGGAAGTTCAAGGTCACTGGAAGAAAAAGTTCCTAATTCGTGTCCAGTCCACATCTTTCTTATGGATAATCTTGGTAGGTTCTCATTTCACGCAAAGATTGCCCATGACCCAAGGGTGTGTCATGACCTTGACCCAAGGTCATTTGGGGAAGTTCAAGGTCACTAAGAAAAAGTTCACTTCTTTCCGGTCCATATCTTTTTTATGGATAAACTTGGTAGGTTCTCATTTCACACAAAGATTGCCCATGACCCAAGGGTATGTCATGACCTTGATTCAAGGTCATTTGGGGAATTTCAAGGTCACTTGAAGAAAAATTTCATAATTCATGTGTGATACATATCTTTATTATGGAAAAACTTGCTTCTGAAAAAACCCAGCGGGGGGTATTTTATCCCGTTTGGACAGTTCTATTTTTTGAAGATTTTTTTTGTATTTTCTTTACATAAAATACCTTGATCAAGGTATTTGTAATACCTTGATAAAGCTATATAGCTTGATGAACGTCATGGTTTCAATTTTGCCCCAGGCAATTGGAAAGCTCTAGACCAGTGATCACTCTTTTCCCTAAGACCGGCTACCAGCCAAATTGACCGCTTCAATTGACAAAAATGCTGCTTTGAAATAAAAATTTGTATGGTCCACAGAGATTCAGTTCATAAACCTCAGCCCCTAGCCTATTTCAACTGATCTCTAACCATCTACTTTGAAATAAAGGGAAAACACTGCCTGATTATGGACACTTTAATACTTGAGCATGCTTCAAGTGCTGGTATTGACCTACATTTTCCAGATGAGGTTTTTTGGAGCTGGTCCATTTCCAAGAAACTATAAGCCCTACCTGGACCAAACTTGCTTGGATGCTGCATCTAGGGATGGATGCTGGATCTGACATACATTTTGCAGTTGAGTGACTAGGTTCAAGTTTTTGAAGCAGCTAGGTCCATACTAATAACATGATCACTATATAAGGCACACAGTGGGTTTGAGTGGTTGTCAGGAGATACTTACTCCTCCAAGGCACCTGATCCCACCTCTGGAAATTCTGGGGGTCTCTATAATCCATTATTGATAATGACAAATAGTGTTTCCAACTTTCCATGGTCTGTGTAAATTTTAAATCAAATAGCATGGAGGCTAAATTGATACGATATACACAGGGTTCAAGTTAGTTGAGAAAACTTAAATACATATCAATTACTCTCAACTGGATTTTGGTTTTTAGCTTATCTGAACTGATAGCTCAAGCGAACTTTTCTGATCACTCTTGTCTGTTGCTCTCTGTGTGTCTGTCTGTTAACTTTTTGTTTTTAGAATGGAATAATTAAAATCTCAAGAACCACGGAACAAGAAAAGCTCAATCTTATTTGGAAGGCTTCTGAATTAGTGTAGATTCTAATGGTGTCGAGTGGTTACGTTTCCGATTTGACCCAAGTGGTTCTGACCCGAGTGGTATATGTATATCCCTACAGGTAGAGTCAGTACCTAAGTACAGGGGTAGACACTGTGCGGTAGACAAATGGATATTCAGTAGCTGTATGCCTTCAGAGTTATACTTGTCAATAGCATGAATAGGTCATTATCGATAATTGTTTCTCTTGATTCCTTTATGCAATCTATAGAAAAGATGGTTTCCTAATGTCTTTTATCTATCACAGAGAAGAGGTGTTGATAAATTTGATTCAATAATGATTTTAAATTGAGCAAAATTAAATTAAATACACATCTTTAAACGTGTGTTAAATGCACTGTGATATCATACTGACTGTGTAAATAAAATAATACTCATTTTTCCAAATTGAAATGCTTACTTTAAAAATAAAGTAAACATCATAATGTACAGAAATTTAAATGAGTACCGTATACACTCGCCTATAAGTCGGTCCGCCTATAAGTCGGTTGTATTTTTTGACGTTATTTTGGTGGGATTTGCTGTTGACCTGCTTATAAGTCGGTACAATTTTTTGCCAAAATCGGGTGACAATTTCAAGTAAATCCATTGGTTTTAAATTTGTTTAATTGATATTTTTCGAAATTAAACTGATATTTAATCTTAAATTATTAAACAAAAAGGCAATGCTCACTTAGAATACAAATAAAATTATTATTAAAATATGTAAATATTTGTAATTTATATGTTTAATCTAAGAATGCATAAATTATCATACATCCAGGCATTTTCTTTGATAAGGGTCAGAAATGCAAATAAAATACTAAATTTCAGCCTCCAGAAAAATATCTCTTTATGACTCGCCTGTAGGTCGGACATAGAGTTTTAGACCAGCATTTAACTCCCAAAATACCGACTTATAGGCGAGTATATACGGTACTATAAAAAAAAAAATAAACATCATAATTTACGCTATTTAGTAAAATATGCATATAAAAACAATGTAGACCAAGAATGATATGTTAAACTGTTGAAAGTGTATAATAATTGCATCTGAACAAAACCACAAGGGATGAACATGGATTCCTGTGAAATCCATGTGGGTCGAACAATTATCGGAACGTAACTACCCGCATTCTTTCTAAATAATTTGATTTAGGCACCCTTGGGTAGGGTGGTGCCACAATAGAAAATCAAAGTTTTACATTGAAATATAAAGGGAAAAAAAATTGAAAATTCTCTTCTCAAAAACCAATGGGCCAGGAAAACTTGAACTTGTATGGAAGCAGCATCAAGTATTGTACAAATCGTGACCCTCGGGTGTTGAGTGGGGCCACAATAAGTATGACAAAGAGGGAATTCTGGTAAAGAACAGCAGGGCCAAAGTTACTCATGTGAACATTGCAGCCCATGCACCTCTTGTTTACAATATGCTTGGTATAATAGTTCAAATTTCTGTTACGAGGAAAAAAACTCATTTATCCTGCAAATAAACTTCTATTCATCCTACAAGGAAACTTTTATACATCATTTACCATGTAAACTATATAGCAAAGTTTGTTAACCTATATCTATATGTATTTGTTGTTGCAGACAAGCTCTTCATGCTCCCATAGAATGGGCACAAAGAAAAGACAAGTTATACATTACAGTTGATGTTGATGACTGCACAGAACCCCAAATAGAGCTAACAGAAACGTCATTAACATTTAGGTATGTTATCTAAATCATTAGCTCCACTGTTAGGTGCCATTTCAAGGTACAGTTTCCATTGTTTAGCTTTTTCAGTTTCTGCATGTTTTTAGGTTTAGGCCAAACAAAAAAATATGTTTTCTTGCCAACTGCTTTGCAACTCGGGGGTGTGCAATAAAAAAAATGAAGGAGTTTTGATGTCACCTGAATGTTCTCGCTAGTAAAGACATGTCCAAGTACGAGTCTGCAGACACTTCAATTTTAAGAACCTTGAGTCACAAATGATATTACTGGGTCTGGTATGCATAGAATGAGAATTCTATCAGACATACGCACCACTTGATTTGAACATACATGTATTTTATTGTTTAGATGTTGCAACATAAGGATTGGACACAAGTTCTTAAAACTTAGAAAATCCACCACTTACAAAGCACTTAACTTACTTGCATGTATAGAATACATGTACCTGGAGGCATATTAAAAATATGAATATTTTGCAATTGTAATTTTTGCAGATTTGTCCTATCTGCAAAATTCCACAAAAATTGGACAACCTCAGAAAATACCTGTTATACGGTATATTGCTATACAATTTTTCAGTTGCAATACCCAAACCTAATATATAAATAAATAGAGGGCAGACTCTCACGGACCCCATAGAGCAAAGCTTTCCCTACAGGTAACACGTATGTATGTAAGGCCAGATAAAATTAATCTTTAGATTCTCATCCCGCCCGCCTCTCGCTGTTTTTTTATTTTGAATTTTGGGTATTAATAAAAGTATTTTCATGTATTTTTATTCAGCAAGAATTTGAGTCAAAGTTTAAGAGTTATCTCCCGTCTGTAGTGCAGCTATTTATAGCAAAAAAAAAACATGTCAAGAATGGAGAAAAATCGGCAATAAAAGGAGTTTAAATATGTAAGGAAAAGATAATTTGTCAGTATAGAGAAGGTAGAGAAGAAAAAATAACAAAAACACATCTAGATACCATCACTGCCACTAGCATGAGCAAGTTTTTAGAAAGATTTTGACTAAGTAAAAATAGACAAGGAAAATGACACCTGGTCATGTTTTAACAATCTCTAACTGTGTGTGATTTTGCTTTAAAAAAACATGGAGGCAGACTTTAGAAAATGTTAAGTGCTAAGAAAATGTTAAAACTTAAAACTGTTTAGGCCTAGGTTTTTCTGTAGAATATTTTATTGATTTTGCAAATATGACCTACAGTGTATTTTAATGTCGGACATGTCAAGTCTCAAGAACGATCAAATTTTTGAGGAAGATGGAAATCTATGATATTTTACAGAAAACAGAGGGATTTGTTGGTAAAACTAAAAGGTATTTGGGGAAAGGCCGATGAGAAGTCATGCATACACAATTTTTTGGTATCCCCACCTCATTTTGTTTGGTGGGTGCCCTATATATATATGTGTGTGTACTTGATAATTTTTTAATTAACAATAAATATTGAATTTTTTAAAACAAGAATCTTCTTCAAATATTTAAAAGAATATAAAGAGAATAAAATCTATTAATTTATATTGACATTAACATAATGAAAAGAATGTGTATATAATACCTATTGAACTGATAACCTTCAGCCAATATGGTGTCCATAGTCTCATTCCATCTTGAATCTCGCCTCATCTTGCAGTAAATTCCCGCATGGTGAATCGTAATTTTAATTCCAATCCTGCATTAATGGATTAATTCAAATAATCAGAACATCTTTACCATACACATTCTTGTTACTTTTGTTTTCAACCAAGCTAAGAGGCCAAACTTGCAATCGATCGTCATAGACCTGATCTGTAGGTGACGTCATTCATTGACTAAATCTGCGGAAACTGCCAACTTTTTAACAATCTGTTATATTTCATATGCGTACTCCCTCTTTTTAAAAAAAATCAGTTAAATGAATTCCTGTGACATCACTGTCTAGACTGCATACTATACTTGTTATAAATAAAAACCAGTTCTAAGAGCTAAAGTTGAGACTTCTGGTTTATTGTAACAATTAAAATGTGTTTTTAGGCCAATTTTACAAAGTTTGAACCTGTATGTTTTGTAGGGCAAGAGGAGGAGCAGAAAAGAAATTGTATGAATCCAAAATTGAATTCTTCAAAGAAGTAGACCCAAAGGTAATAGTTAAAAATGCCAGGAAAGGATAAGAATGAATAAGATAATTTATTTAACAAGTTTTAACTGAAGTATTTTAATGACATATACAAGTCTATTGAATTTCTTAATCTTTTTTAGGAATCAAAATATACTGTCCTTCCTAGGAATGTTCCATTTGTGATAAAGAAGAAAGAAGAGGGTCACTTCTGGCCTCGTTTAATAAAAGATAAATTTAAGGTGTGTTTTGTGGAATACATCTGTGAAATATGAAAGTCATAGCCCCACTCACTATGGGCATGGTTAAAGTTGTTGCAGACAAACAGGCAGACAGACGACAAGACAAAAACTATATACCAAGAATCTTTGATTCTTGGGGCATAAAAAGATAATTTCCAATGGAAATCTTTGAGATATGCATTGCTGATGTAAGCAAAGGATTTTGTACTAATTCTAGACTCCATCACTGGTGGACTTAAGAGGGGTGGGGGTTGTGAAGGTGGCATGATAGGACTAGTATTGGTAATGACATACTTTGGTACATAATTAACCAATACCACTATTTTTATGCCCCCAGATTGAAATTGTTTTTGTCCTGTTTATCTGTTTGTCTCCCTGTCTGTCTGTTGTCAACTTAAACTTAGCTTGTACATATTGGGTTGATGGGGCTATGGCTTTCATATTTCACAGATGTATTCTTTGTGACGAGACCTTTCTTTGGGTACCACGAAATTTGACTTTGGAATTTGACCTACTTTTGCAAAAAAAAACCCACACTTTAACCTTAGCCATAACTTTTGAACAGTTGGAGCTAGAACTTACATACTTCATGTATATTCATTGTGGAGAGACCTTTCAGCTGGTATAAATATTTTTGATCTTGACCTAAGAGTTTGACCCACTCTTTAAAAACTAAAACCTTGGTCATAACTTTTTATCTGTTAGAACTAGGACTCTCATAGTTCACGGGTATATTCCTTGTAACAAGACCTTCCTTTGGGTACCAACACTTTTGGCTTTGACCTGTATTTGAGAGAATTCAACCTTTGCCATAAGCTGTCGTATGGGGGCATCGGTGTTTCATAAACACATCTTGTTGTGCCTGGTTTTACTCTTAAAATGCATAAAAACCAAGGAGCTTGCGGGGGCGTAGCCCGATGGGCCCAACCAGGCTATGCTTTGGACCCACTGGGGGCTTTAAGGTGCCCTCCCCCAAACCCCTGCCTGAAAGAAGTTATCTACATCCCCCATGTCTATCTCATTATCTTGATTGGATGTCATATAGAATGCATCATTTAAGGCCATAATAAAAATATTCCTAGATTCTCATCCCCGCCCACCCCAATTTTATACTTCCGCCTCGATTTTTTTATTTCTGTTTTTCTTTGTCTTAATTGTGATCCGGATCGGTAGTCATCTACCATTCTACTTTCATTTTAAATCCTGCGAAAGTCGACATGATTTTGACAGCTGAAAAGATGGTAATTGCTGTAATACATGCGTATATATTTTAAACAAGGGTCATTGGTTGAAAAAGATAGGTGATGATGTGAAGTAAGAGATAATTGAACCTTTACTATGACTTTTATTTGGGTATTGTAGATAAAATTACACCATTTGACCAGGTCAATAAAAAATCTGCAAAATTGAAAAAATAAAAAATATAAAATAAAAGCCGCCCGCCCGCCTCGATTTTTTAAACAATTCGGATGAGAATCTAGCAATTTATTTATCATGGCCTAAAAACTTTAATTTTACAAAGTAAACTCATTTTGCAGTTTTCTTTTGTCTGTTAAATTGATTGAATAAAATTATCACTTGTATCTTGTAGAATTAATATTTTTGTATATTGCTCAAGTTCTTCTATATGTGCAAGACAGCTACAACGATATGAAGTGAAGGCAGTCAGAATTTATCAATCTATAAAATATTAAGTCACACGAGCTACTAAACTGACATCTTGCCACAGAGTTTCTTTTTTAGCTCACCTGAGCCGAAGGCTCAAGTGTGCTTTTCTGATCACATTTTGCCCTTCGTCCGTCTGTCTGTCTAGCTGTCCATCTGTCTGTCTGTAAACTTTTCACGTTTTCAACTTCTCCTCTAGAACCACTGGGCCAATTTCAACCAAACTTGCCACAAAACATCCTTAGGTTGGATGAAGGGGATTCAGATTTGTTCAAATGAAGGGCCACTCCCTCATTCAAGGGGAGATAATACTTGATATCGCGATTACTTAACTTAGCGGAACTCTTTCGCGATGGAGGTAGGAAACGTCTGTTGGGTGGGGGCAAATGTGCTATTTAATATAATGCAAGATCGATCACTGTAGCATTTACAAGGACAGATAAGTAAAAAATCCTAGTGGAATACTTTGCTAAACAATCGCTGAACCAGCCTAATAAATTTTTGAGAGGAGCCAATCCTAAATTGTTACATTTTTAACGATATTTTTAATTAAGCGGACTCTTCGAGTTAAATTTTCATTGAAAATCGTCACATTTTAAAGCAGATAAAATATTCTAAACTGTCCTTATATGACCATGTACTATTTGGAGTTCAATATCTGGCAAAACATTGTGATTTCGGCATCAAATTGTTGGAATCGGTTGATTGTCACTACTGTAAACAATGTCATGTGCCCCAGAAATTTAGACCTTTCTCGACTCCCCCGCAAAAGAGCGGTAGTAAGTTAGATAACTGCGAGGTACTTATTGGTAGTCGCGATATTACGTATTCAGAAATAGTGAAAATTTGGTGTCATGTTATAAAAATCTTCTTGTCAAGATCCATTGTGCCAGGAAAAATGAAACCTACGGGGAAACATCCTCAGGTAGTGTAGTTTCAAGTTTGTTCAAATCGTGACCCCTGGTGTAGGGCGGGGCCACAATGGCCGACCAAAGTTTTACATTGAAATATGTAGGAAAAATCTTTAAAAATCTTTTTCTCAAGAACCATGAAGACATGATTGATCATATTTATATAGAAGCATCCTCAGTTAGTGTAGATTCAAGTTTGTTCAAATTATGACCCTTGGGGGTAGGGCGGCGCCACAATGACCGACCAAATTTTTACATAGAAAAAGATTGAAAATTCTTTAAAAATCTTCTTCTCAAGAATAACAAAGCCATGATTGATCCTGTTTATATGGAAGCATGCTCAGGTAGTGTAGATTCAAGTTTGTTAAAATTATGACGCAAGGGGTTAGGGCGGGGCCACAATGGTGGACCAAATTTTACATAGAATTACCTGGTATATAGGAAAATTCTTAAAAAATCTTCTTCTCATGAATAACAAGGCCATGATTGATTATATTTATATGGAAGCATCCTCAAGTAGTGTAGATTCAAGTTTGTTCAAATTATGACCCAAGGGGGTAGGGCGGGGCCACAATGGTGGACCAAATTTAGCATAGAATTATAGAAAAATTCTTTTAAAATCTTCTCAAGAATAGCAAAGCCATGATTTATCATATTTATATGGAAGCATTCTCAGGTAGTATAGATTCAAGTTTTTGCAAATTATACCCTCTCCCCTTTAAGAAATGGTTGGGACTACTTTTGGGTTTACACTTTTCAATAATAAACTAATTTCTTCTTTTTTCCTAGCCAAAAGTGCTCAGGTGAGCGAAGTGGCCCATGGATCTCTTGTTTTGTGAATGTTGGAGCTTAGACACTTTTCTTTAAACATTTTGCTTCTCAGAACACCCCCCCCCCCAAAAAAAAACAATAATCTAAAAGGGTATAAAATGATATTGAAATTATTCAATCAAGGAATTTGCCGCAGATTAGAAAATGAGATATTTCCTATTAGGGTCTGCTCACAGGCACCTGACGTTACTTATTTTCTTTTAATAAAAAAAATTTACCCATACTAATAATAAACAAGGTACCCATTGAGACTGCCATCTTGGATTTTACCGAAAATACAAGTGAATGACCTACTTCAAAAATCCAAGATGGCGGTCTCGATGGGTACCTTGTTTATTATTAGGTATGGGTAAATTTTTTTCATTAAAAGAACAAGCAAATTCAAAGAATTGTGGTCCCCCGCTTTCGGTATCTTTGTGGGCAAGATATCATTTTTAGGGTCAAGGTCAATAGGTCAAAGTTTTTGGTATCCCATGTAAGGTCTTGCCATAAAGAATACATATATTTAAGAGCCATTCTCTGTAATGACTTGAAATTTTATATAGGGGCTGTGGCACGCATAGTCTCAGAATTTCTCCAAACTCTCTATAAGAAAAGTCATTGATACCCTAAACTGAAATCAGGCAAAAATTGGTTGCTATGCTCTATAGTTACCATGGCAACATGTCTTAAAGTTCAAAAAATGGCAATTTTAAACATGTTTAGAGCCCCATAGTTAACATTTGCGGCAAAGCAAACTATTGGCGATGACTGTTTCCAAAATTAGAAGGTCAGATGTCTCAAATGCATGATAAACATGTTTGGTAAATCAACTATTACATACGTTACTATGGTAACAAAAGTATTCAAAAGTAAAAAAAATATTCATTGAATTTTATAAAGTCATACACGTAAAAATAAAAAGCAATTATAGGATGAAATGTGACCAAATAACAGAAAAAAGAGCCTTGAAACATATACCAAGAACAAAATATGATATTTCATTTTGGTTGGCAATGGTGGCCAAGGTTTTTATACCACAGAGAGCCTTCAAAGTAACATTCTGTATGTTTAAATCTGATCCTATCTTTTAAAAAAGCACATTTCCTTATAACTAATGATCAATTTTTAAAGATGTAGGTGTGCTCCTAGTTTTCCCATTTGAAAAAATTCAGATTAGATTCTTTAAGTAGAGCGTTGCTATGGAAATAAGCAGAAAATATATGCTTAAAAACCTTAAAAATATCTTCTTTCCTTGGATACGTACCCTTAAATGTAGATTCCCAAAACTTTTATGATTGATATTTATTAACAGCTTACCTGACTTTTAATTTTGACTATCATCCAATCTCTAAGTGGATGCAAGAAGTTGGCACACAGGGTTTAATATTGATATAAAGTTCACAAAATCGAACATTTTCCCTTCTTGGTAACCATAGCAACAGTGTTGTTTTCTTCATCAAATTTTATCAATATATGATATTCAACTTCAGTTCTAACAGATAACTACTATTCAAACTGAGTTCTTTAATTTGTTCCTTGATTATATGGCAATTTAATTCTTAATGCAGCGAAAAATAATTCACTTTTAAGCACTGGTACTTTGTTTCCATGGTAACACTGCAAAGTAATAATTATACCCAATTTTTCTTATAGTTTTGGTGTTGCAAGATCCTAAGGATGCATATTTGCCAGTCTTGAATTTTCATGTTTTTCCTCAAGACAGTAGCATTAACCCAATCTTAGTTACTAGTTTTGCATGGTTACACTGTGTTACCATGGCAACCATAAAAGTTATTTATAGAATAATATTGCTTATACCTATATACTTAAGGTCAAATATTTTCATTGTTTTTCTTGAGTCATTGATTGAGTTTGAGCATATAACACCTATCATTAGTGAATACGGAGTGTTTTTCAGCATATTTCAGCATTTTAAATGTATTCCAAATGTACCCTTGGTAACCACTTACTTAAAGATATATTCTAAACAGTTTCTTTACAGTATAAGTGACATCAAGGTGTCATGTTTTTGTGAGAATGGTTTGTTTCCTTTTTCTAGTTTTTATTAAGCCACAGTCAAGATTTGAAGTGGCTGAAAATCTCGATTTTTCAAACTTTTCCGGCTGTTGCCATAGCAACCGAGACACATAGCAACGAAATTTTGTTTGATATTTGTTTCTGGTGTCAAGTACTAAGCATGGGTGAAGTTTCATCAAAATCGGTGACCATGCGTGGCAACGAAGTTCAAGTGGTTACAGAGAATGGCTATTAAAATATGAAAGTCCTAGTTTCTACCGTTCAAAAGTTGTAACCAAGGTTAACGTTTTTAAAAAGTAGTTAAAACTCCAAGGTCAAGGTCAAAGGGTCTAAGTTCCTGGCATGCAATGAAAGGTCTTCTCACAAGGATTACATATGTGAAGTACAAAAGCCCTAGCCCTTACCGTTTAAAAGTTATGGTCAAGGTTAAAGTTTTTTCAGAAGTACATAAATCTCCAAGGTCAAGGTCCAAAGGTCAAAGTTGTTGGTATCCAATGAAAGGTGCTGCCTCAAAGAATACATGTGTGAAATATAAAAGTCCTTGTATCTACCGTTCAAAAGGTTATAATTTTTAAAAAGTAGTTAAAACTCCAAGGTCAAGGTCAAAAGGTCAAAGTTCTTGGTATCCAATGAAAGGTCTTCTTACAAGAATAAAATATATGAAGTATAAAAGCCGTAGCCCTTACCGTTCAAATATGGTCAATGATATAGTTTTTTCATAAGTATGTAAATTTCCAAGGTCAAGGTCAAAAGGTCAAAGTTGTTGGTATTCATTGAAAGGTCTTGTCACAAAGAATAAATATGTGAAATATGAAAGTCCTAGTACCTACCATTCAAAAGTTATGGCCAAAGTAAAAGTTTGGAATTTTTTAGTAAAAGTAGTTGAAACTCCAAGGTCAAGGTCAAAAGGTCAAATTTGGTGGTACCCAAAGAAAGGTCTTATCACAAGGAATACACATATGAAATATGAAAATTATAGCTCCACTAAATCAAAAGTTATGGGCAAGGTTAAAGTTTTTGTGACGGACGGACAGACTGACGAATGAGATTTAATGTCCCCTCGCTTTCGCGAAAGCGGGGGACAAAAATAAGTAACGTCAGGTGCCTTTGGGTCTGCTCTGCAGCTCCCTTTAGTAATCAAGTCCAGTCAGCCTCAAACTTTTGCCAATTGACTTAGGGTACAGAACGTTTGTGATTTCCATTTTCAGAGAGGATATGCAACCTTTGTGATTCTTGTGCCGTTTTTTGATAGAGGGCATGTGGCACTCATGAATTTTGTGTCATTTTTTTGTCCCCCGCTTTCGCGAAAGCGAGGGGACATTAAATCTCATTCGTCTGTCCGTCTGTCCGTCTGTCCCTCTCTCCGTCTGTCTGTCCGTCAGTCTGTCAGTCTGTCAGTCTGTCCGTCCGTCACAAAAACTTTAACCTTGCCCATAACTTTTGATTTAGTGGAGCTATGACTTTCATACTTCACTTGTGTATTCCTTGTGACAAGACCTTTCTTTGGGTACCACCAAATTTGACCTTTTGACCTTGACCTTGGAGTTTGACCAACTTTTACACAAAAATTCCAAACTTTTACTTTGGCCATAACTTTTGAATGGTAGGTACTAGGACTTTTATATTTCATTTATGTATTGTTTGTAGCAAGACCTTTCATTGGATACCAACAACTTTGACCTTTTGACCTTGACCTTGGAGATTTATATACTTATGAAAAAACTTTAACTTTGACCAAAACTTTTACATGGTAAGGGCTAAGGATTTCATACTTCATGTATGTAATCCTTTAGAAAAGAACTTTCATTAGATACCAAGAACTTTGATCCTTTGACCTTGACCTTGGAGTTTGACCTACTTTTTAAAAACTATAACCTTGGTTACAACTTTTGAACGGTGGATACTATAGGACTTTCATATTTCACATATGTATTCTTTGTGCCAAGACCTTTCATTGGATACCAACAATTTTGACTTTTGACCTTGACCTTGGAGATTTATGTACTTATGAAAAAAACTTTAACCTTGACCAAAACTTTTGAATGGTAGGGGCTAGGGCTTTCATACTTCACATATGTAATCCTTGTGAGAAGACTTTTCATTAAATACCAAGAACTTTGATCCTTTGGCCTTGACCTTGGAGTCTGACCTACTTTTCAAAAACTTTAATCTCGGCCACAACTTTGGAACAGTAGATACTGGAACTTTCATATTTCACATATGCATTCTTTTTGGCAAGACCTTTCATTTGATACCAACAACCTTGACCTTTTGACCTTGAAGATTTTTTGTACTTATGATAAAACTTTAACCTTGACCATAACTTTTGAATGGTAAGGGCTAGGGCTTTCATACTTCAAATATGTAATCCTTATGAGAAGACTTTAGATTGGATACCAAGAACTTTAACCCTTTGACCTTGACCTTGGGTTCAGTGATGATTTCTAAATAAATGACATATCATAGGGTGTTCATATTACACACAATACGTAATAAAAAATGACATCTCACCCACAATGGCACTGAAAGCGGGGGACCACAATTCCTTGAATTTGCTTGTTATATTTCATTTCATCATACAAATACTTTTCTAAAAGTTTTTCCAGAGAATAGTATAGTTTTTTTTTTGTCCCCTTTAAACTCAAACAACACATCCCTTAATAGTACACAAATGTTCTTCAAAATAAACCCGTCTCAGCTACCTTACTTTTTCATGTTCGTTGCTGAAGGTCATTTGAGATGGTCATCATCTCAATGATATCTAGTTTCTTCTGTTTTAGGTTCATTGGATAAGAACAGATTTTAATAAATGGAAAGATGAAGATGATTCAGACTATGAAGAAGATGCAGGAGACATGGATTTAGAAGCAGTAAGTCAAGTCCATTACTCCTTTTATAAATAAAGACGAGAATAGATATGGGTTACCCCATATCCAAAGATATTCGACTTTAAGATTTAATATGTTTAACAGTGGTTATAATGACTTTGATTAAAAAAAAACTGCACTAGCTGTCTAATTATGGAACTGGTGTGAATTTCGTGAGTCCGTAGCATTACAGTCACTCAGTCTCCTAACAAACAGTACACACACCTGTGTCTGCAAGACCAACATTAACTTTGGTCTACACACGTGCGATGGAGTCGTCAAACACATCTAGCGAGCTCGGAGAAGCAAGTTTTGTTTTGCCGGGAAGTTACGATGGCAGACAAAACTTTTCTTTTCTTAATCTTGTTACTTATAGATCATATGAATACGAATTCTGTTCAATAAAAAATTATACAATCCCTAGGGCTGTTGAACTATATTTTGTTCTATCATTTGCATCTGCAACAAAGTGTGTTTAAAATGGGTTAGGAAAATCAGGGCCGGGTCGGAAAATTCTAAACTGAAAACCGTTTTTCTTTTGAAAATTACTGAAATATGCTAATGTATTCGTCGAAGAAATTACTTACATAATTCAAATTCTATATAAAATGATGCGCTGAACTTCAACACGAACCTGGTTTTCAGTCCGACCCGGTTCGTGTTTTGCTACACACCCTACAGTTTACACAGTCTACACACGAGCAGACTGCGGTCAGGGATTGAAAATTCTGTCATTTAATAATACACACACACAGAATGATTATTTTTTTCTTTAAGAGAAAATTGTATGATAATTAACGAACTATAAACAAGTACTTAATACAATTGTTGATATAGTATTATCAATTCATCGGTGAAAAGAAATCAATCGAAGAATGACCTAAATATTGTCTGTTATCAAACATGGTAAAAAAAAGGTGAAGAGGGAGCGAGCATAGGAATATTGGTATTTTTTATTTGCATTTCGGGGGGAAAGTGATTTTCTGAAAATATGTTGACATTATTTTTGGTTTCTTTAACGTATGACATACACAACATTATTCTTATCATGAACAATAATGTTGTATCTACTTATCATGATGGAACTATTTTTGTCGGAACAATTTGTGTGAGTCGCCGCTGACTACAGTAATATATCTTGCATTAATATTAAGCACTGATCGAATATATTAATAACCACTTTATTCCATATCCGTGGGAGACATTAGAAAAATCTCTTGCAACTTGTCAGTCTATAATATAATATAAATTTTTCTATTAGTGGGTCAGTTTATTAGTTTTTGATAACTCATGAGTACATGAACAATGAAAGCTTAATTAGCCAAAGGCTGAAGTGAGCTTTTCTGATCAAAATTTGTCTGTTGTCTGTTGTCGTTATTTTTTGTGGTCGTTGTTATTGTCATCGTAAACTTTTCACATTTTCATCTTCTTCTCAGAACCACTAGGCCAATTTCAACCAAACTTGCCACAAAGTATCCTTGGGTGAAGGGGATTCAAATTTGTTCAAATGAAGGACCAAGCCCTCTTCCAAAGGGAGATAATTATGAATTAATGAAAAATTAATGGTATCTTTTAAAAATCTTCTCAAGAACCATTTGCCAGGAAAGATGAAACTCATGTGGAAGCATCCACTGGTAGTGTAGATTCAAGTTTGTTCAAATCCTGGAGTAGGGCAGTGCCACATTGGCTGATCAAAGTTTTACATAGGAGTACATAGGAAAAATCTTCTCAAGATCGGTAAAGCCATGATTGATGATATTAATATGGAAACATTCTCAATTAGAGTTTATTCAACTTTGTTCATATCATGACCTCTGGGGGTAGGGTGGGGCCATAATGGGCAATCAAAGCTTTACACTGGAATGTAGGAAAAATCTTTTTAAAATCTTCTTCTCAAGAACAGCAAAGCCATGGCATGCTTGGTGATATTTATATAGAAGCATCCTCAGGTAGTGTAATTTCAAGTAATATGTTGGAAAAATCTTTAAGAATTTCATTTTCAAGTATGGCAAAATTATACATGTATGCTTTTAATTTATTGATATAGTGACATTCTCAAGTAATAGAAAATTCAAATCCCTCCTCCCCCAATAAGTAAACTTTTCAATACTTTTTAAACTAGCCCATGTGCTCAGGTGAATGATGTGGTCTATAGGCCTCTTGTTTAAAGCTGGCATATTTCAGAAAGTGTTTCAGTGCTTCATCACATTCATGATAAATGTGCTGGAGTGAAGAATTTATGATAAAAATGCATGCATGGAGTGATGTACTTCTTGAATTTCAAGAAATGAAATTTATATTTTAATTATTTATCTTATGTCTAGCAATTTGATTATCATTTTTAGGTCACCTGATAGGAGGGCTTAAGTCAGCTTTTCTGATCACATTTCTCATTCTCAACTTCTTAAAACCACTGAGTCAATTTCAACCATTATCTTCTCAAGAATCGATGCACCAGAGAAATGTTTGTGAAAGCTGCATTACATAACGGAACCCTTGGTCCAATGTGGCTCATACTCCACTCACAGTGTACTACTGGTTAATGAATGTGCAGTGACCATGAACGAAGGTCAAGGTCAAAAATAGCCTCTTTGTTTAAATTCTTGTTAGGAGCATGTTTTCTCTCTCTTTGACCCAATCTGGCTCATACTTTACCCACAGAGTGTCTTTGGGTAAAGGATATGCAGTGCCCTTGAACTATGTTTCTAGGTCTAAGGTTAAGGTCATAGCAGAATGAAATGAAAATGAAAAATCCTTGTCCCTGTCTTCTCACCCCTTGGTCCAATGTGGCTCATGCTTCACTGAGTGCCACTGGTCAATGCAAAGCCTGTTGTGCATAAATTATCCTGTGTTTCCAACTATTGTTGATGTCCCTGGCATACTCGACTAACTAGACAGCACAGGCACCTGACGTTACTTATTTTTCTTTGAATAAAAAATAAACACATACCTAATAATGAACAAGGTCCCTATCAGCGCCATCTTGAATTTTTCTAGGTGTGCCACATCCACTTGTATTTTCGCCTGAAACTCCATCAAATAAATTCCCTGCAACCATATTCTTTCTGTGGCCAGTCTTTCGAGGTCTAAACTTACGTACACTGCAGCCAGAAGGGCGCATCACCCTTGCAAATATTAAAAATCCCTCGTCAAACTCGATCTACTGCTTCAACAATCCGAGAAATTGCCAAAGGGGATGAAGAATAGTGAAGTTCTAAATTTGTTAAAATCATGACCCCTAGGGATAGGATAATGCCACAGGAAACACGGGATCAACATAAAAAAAAAACCCGATAAAAATAAATGACCTTGTTGATAATAAAAGCAAATTCATTGTGTGAAATGCATCAGACTGTCAGTCAGAATGTAAGGTGTTTAAATATTTTGGAGGGAATGCTAGTGGCTTAGGTTAGTTAAACATATTAAGAGTATATAATGTTATGTAAATATTGCATGTAGTTGAGTGTATTTTGAATTTTCAATGTTACACTCAACTACATGCAATTTTTATTATACGAGGGGCATTTCAAAAGTTCTGGCAACGGTTTAATAAAAAAATTAAATGTTTTACGGATTGTACGGAAATATTGAACTATGAGTTCAATATCATTGGAAAGATCAGAAAAATATACACATTTTGTGATGTCACATTATAATTTTTGTGATGTAATTATTCCAAAAATGACCTCAGAGTATAGAATGTTTAGCATACTGAGACGTTGAGTTTTTATCCACTCGAGACAATTATAAAAGTGCTGCCAAAGGCTTATTTGAAAAAATATTCCAAAGAAAATTTTAATTTGCAAAGAGATAGAATAGGACTATGGTCCGGTTATGCTATCATCGACATTCCTATAAGATTTTTATTTACATGATATGGCTGGATTTTCGGTCTTTTATATTATAGCTCTCAATTCTACGAAATAAATCATGTTCTGTATAAAACTGAAGTATATTAATGTAGCTTTTAACAAATATATTTTGAGCAACAGGACTCTTACCATTTACGAATAAAATGTACAAAAGTCTTGCCGCTTACTTGTTTCTGTGCCTATTTTTTCATATTAATTCAACTTCGGCGCCCAAAACTCGCTACTGATTTTGACTTTTGACTCCAAAAAAGGATTATAAGTTACAAAGACATGTAAAATCTTATTTATTTTCCATGAATTAAAATTTGCAAATATGTGGAGGTATGGTGGAGTTTCAACTGCGCCATATTGGATTTTACGAAAAAATATGGGGCACACTAAACTTAACTTCTCTTGAGCCTTCATCAATCCCACAAATCTGGTTAAATGACGTGACGAAATTATGCCATCAAATTTTGTTACAGGATCATCTAATTTTCTTTGATTGTCAACTTTGTCTTTTCTCATGTCAGTTAGGTCTCTTTAACGCAATAGTTTGAGTGAAACACCATATGATAGATTGTAGTCTATGTTAACATTCCACCAACTGGCATTTGCGTTAGTTAGCTTGCGTCCGAGTAATGAGCAAAAGTTGTCTTTAAAATTTTAATTTGATCAAATTGTGCCTTTTGTTACATCATTTTTTTGGTCAGTGTGTTAAACATTCTATACTCTGACATCATTTTTGGAGTTACAGTGGACCTTCAGACATCCGGATGCTTTAGTATCCAGACGATTTTTCATCGGAACAGAATTTTTAAAATGTTATTATGTCTTGCTTAACTGGTAATTGAGATATCTGGACGCTTCACATATCCGGACAAATTGACTAGGAACCAAAGCGTCCGGATAAATGAGGCTCCACTGTATTACGTCATAAAAATTATAATGTGACGTCACAATATGTGTATATTTTTCTGATCTTTTCAATTATAACAAACTCAATAATTTCCGTAAAATGGTTAATTTTTTATTAAACAGTTGCCAGAACTTTTGAAATGCCCCAGGTATTATACTGAATGTTTTAAACAAATACATTAAACAGTGAACCGTGCGTGCATAAATTCTGTGCAGTCACTATTTTTTGGAATTTCACCCGTCGTCAAGCAATGTTGACTGTTGCTACACTGGAGGGCGTGGCTTCATTATTCAGCGGGAAATAGTGTTTTTAGCTCACCTGAGCCAAAGGCTCACTCGGTATATTAAAACAGTTAAAGTATATCATTGAAGGAGTTAGCAAGAATCCAGTTCCCCTTGATCAGGACTATTTCCCTTGCGGCGCAGCGCCTCGGGAAATAGTCATGGCTAGGGGAACTGGAATTTGTTAAAAGTGCAAATTTCCCCGAAAATCAGGAATGGAAGTGCATGAATTTAAAAAAAAAGTGAGGGACAGCTCTGAAGATATTCTCAGGATGAATCTTTCCTGAAAAAGCCTTTTAAATTGAGATATGGCCCATACCATGAAAAAAAAAAAAAATAATTATAATAATAGAAAACAAACAGAAAACAACGTGGTCTTCCAAAGGAAGTCTTAACACCATATTTATATGAAATTTAATATTCTCTCGTGCTCATATGGTATGCCATGGTCAGGGTTTTTTTCTTTTTGATCTCTCTTAAGGATTATCAACCACAATGAAAGTGAAATTTCTAAAAGAAAAATATTGACCATAAAAAGAATTTTCAGAGGGAACTGCATTAAACATCTTTGTTTTTAGTCTGTTTATTATGTGTAGACTTCCTATGAATTATGGGAATACATCCACATGTTTAATTCCCATAATGTGATTACAATTACAGATGATGTCAAAAATGGGTGGCTTAGGTGGAATGGATAATCCAATGGGAGTAAGTGTCCCTCCAACCCTAATGAATTGTGATTGTTTTTCTTGTCTAACCTATTGTGTCAGTAAAGGATTAATTTTAATTATTGTAAGGAATAGACATAAATTCAACTCAAGCTTCCATTTTGATTGTACCATACATTGAAGTCTGGAGCCCTAGTTGTCCCTCCTGATTCTTATAGTCTGATCACTGCCTCAACCTCAAAAAGGGCCACTTACTTAACACAATTTCTATTTTATCAGGATCTTTATTAAAGTTATTTTTTTCTTCAGATGATGAACAATATGGGAGGCATGGGTATGGGTGGTCAAGAGGACGGTGTAAGTATTCAGATTATTTACTTTAAAAGAGTAAATATATAAGGTCCATGATTAACCAAAGTGGGGTAGTTTTCTTAAAAATGTATACAGTGGTACAGTTTTAATCCAGCTTGTTTTATCTTGAAGCAAAATTGTTCAGATATAGTCAGATAAATTACTCATTTTGCATCTATTTAAGTTTTGTGTTTTACACACACTACAAAGACTATACATTTCGCAAACCAAGTTAGAGGGCTATATTGGATCAGTTTGTCCGTATCTCTGTAAACATATTTTTTCAAACAACTGCATGGATTTGTCTGAAAATTTGACACTCCTTAATGACATATGAGGGTTGTATTTGGTCATATTCAGCTGCTGAACCAATTTAACAAATTAAGGTATGGTCAAAAGGGGACATAAATTTTGAATTTCATGGTCCTTGCCCCTCTGGGACCTGAGGAATGGGGCAAAACTATCAAAGTTAATTTAATTACTATTGGTAATATTATAACGTACAATGAGCTTTTTACCAAAATTATTAAATTCATGGCCCCAGGGTCAGGGGTTTTGGAGTTTGGCTGGGACTTTATCATACAGGGGATGACAAATCTTATTGCCCAATGCCCGGGCTAGTGAATTTTAGGGGTAGGAAAGTAAAATGTTATCAACCACTTGCCCATGGGACTTATCAAAAATAAAATCAATGTGTATGCCATAAATTTAAAGCTATATAGAGGCTTGCATGATCTTAGTATTTTTCTTCCTCTTTTCCGTTTTACAAAAGGACTTACGACTTAAGACCAAATTTAATTCTTCATATAACTTTTTAATAAACATTATATCAAAAATTCTTTTAATCTTTTTAAAAGAAATGTGGTAAGATATTTTTAGACAAATAATTTTGAAGAGAATGATTAAGTTTGCAAAATTTTACAATCATCTGCAGTTTTTGGTCTTAGTCGTAAGTTCTTTTGTAAAACGGGCCCCTGGTGTTTTGGCATGGCTCTGTTGATTTTATAGTAAAAATGCATTATTTCTATTAAAGTTTTCTGCTCTGGTCCTAGATATTTAGCAAACATAACAGTGTATGGTAGTGGTAAGCTATGAGGCTTTTTCCAAAATTGAGAATTTCACGACCCCTTGTCATGGTCTCTACTTGGTGTTAGGGTGGGAATTTATTGATCATATAGTGAAATTGCACCAATTCTTTGTCTTCTTTGGGTATAAAGCAGATAAATTAAATGCATGATTATGGTGAGCAAGGGTTCCTCTTTTAAAATTGTTAAAGATGTGACATCTCGGTTGTGGTTTTTCATGCTAAGAAGACAGTTTATTGATTATATAGTGAAACAAGATGTATTTGTAAATGCCCCTGTATGGCAGCTTATTGCCAGGGTTAAGTTTTATCAAATGCATGTCAAACTTCAAAGGTCAAGGTCAAAGGTCAAAAGTGTTGGTACCCAAGGGAAGGTCTTGTTACAAGGAATAAACTTGTGAAATATGAAGCCCAGGTTCTAACTGTTCAAAACTTATGACTAAGGTAAAAGTTTTAAAAAATTGGGTCAAACTCTAAGGTCAAGGTGACAAGGTCTGAAATATTTATACCCACTGAAAGGTCTTGTCACCATGAATACTCATTTGAAGAGCATTTATGAAAGCCTTAGCTCCAACTGTACAAAAGGTATGGCCAAGGCTAAAATGTATGTTTGGTAAAAGTACGTCAAAATCCAATGTCAAGAGGTCAATTTTGGCAGTACCCAAACAAAGGTATTGTCACAGGAGTACAGTTGTGAAATATGAAACCCAGCCCCACCCACTCAAAGTTATGGGCAAGGTTACAGTTTTTGCGACAAACAAACAGAGAGACAGACGGACAGAGCAAAAACTATGTACAGTACCCATGGAGCTTCATTTTCAGAGGCAGAAAAACCATTACCCGGTAATTTTTGAAAATCTAGGATGCAAACAAGTGTACCTGGGTATAAAGTTTCAATGAATGTGATTTTACCAGATTTGTGAAATTCTAGAATACTGTGCTTTGTTGCTGGACAAGGCTTTATTGATTTTGTAGAGAAATTTGCTCTGAACAGGACTGAAAGAATTTTTTTCTTATGGTGATTAATCAGTGTTGATAATGTATTGAATAGGTCATTGAATAGAAGAATGACCGTTTTAAAATGCATAATACTTAGTAAAGATCTGTCAAGTCTTTTTATGGTAGATAGACTTTTATTTAATACATATTGATAAAAATGAGATAAAAATACCTTTTCTTTGTACATTATTATTATAGTGATTATATGTTTTTCAAAAACCATAAGAAGCCATTTAGAAAGGATGTAAGATAAGTTTATACACTAAAGCCTTATCATTTTGTTAAATATTCAAGGTGATATTGACAAATAAGAGGCTATAATCAATGAATCTGCAAGATTTTTTTTCTCATATTAGTTTCTTCAGAATGTTTCTGATTTTGAGAGGAAGAAAAAAAAAATTGTGTTTCTTTATTTTCCAGGGAAAAGACTCGGAAGATAGTGATGATGAAGGTACATTATTGAAGAATATTTTTTATACAGCTGAGTAAAGTGACTTAAGTAAGCCTCTCACCTGAGGTGCTGAAAGCTCATTCGAGCTTTTCTGATCACCTGGTGTCTGTCATCCATCCCTCTGTCCATCTATCTGTAAACTTTTCACATTTTCAACTTATTCTCAAGAACCACTGGGCCAATTTTAACTTAACGTGGTGCAAAAAATCCTTCAGTAAAGGAGAGGTTAAATTGTTAAAATAAGGAACCAAGCCCCCTTCCAAGAGGAGATAATGAAGAAAAGAGTGAATCAAAAAGAAATCAAAGAAATTATCAGCTTAAGGACATTGGCAATGTTTCTGGATTTTGTATAGAATTTTTCAAGAACTTTTGAACAGGTTTAATGGTACCAAACATGTTCAATTCAGGTCCTTTTTACCCATCAAAACAGCCTTCCTTTAAAGATTTTGTCAAATCAATATTTTTACAATCCTCAATGCATTTCCTATGTAAAATATTGATAAAATGGCCCTATATTATTTTTAACCATAAGTTTTTTCTAAAACCCATTTATTTCATAAAGTTTATACATAAAATACATTGTTGAATCTTCATTTCTGATGACAAACATATACTTCGGCTCAAATTGCAAATATAGAAACAAAACACAGAAATACCAGCACTGTTCTTTGATTTTGAGTTACTTCCCTTAACATCTAATTATTATTCAGAGTGATCAAGAGACTGGCTGTTTGTTTCTATACTATAATTAACTTTATATGAAAGGAACTGTCATTAAACATTTTGGCAAGGATTTATTATTAACTTTTAATGATGTCTCCTTCACAAAACCTATAGAATCGTTCTCATCTGGTCTACCTAGCTATCACCACTTTCAGCATAATTATGTCACATCTTTGCACTTCCCAGCATAATGTACTTATTCTAAATGACGAACTGTTGACTATCTGCCCCCTCAGCACAATGTAGACAAACCCATCGCTGTTTTTATACGCCCGTCTTAAGACGGGACGTATTATGTTATAGGCTTCATGTCCGTCCGTCTGTCCATTCCTGTCTGGCTCATAACTTGAATACTATTAGGCCTAGGATTATGAAACTTTGTCAACTTATACTTCTTGGGTAGACGGTGTGTCGCGCACAAAAAGTAGGTCGCTGTGACCTTTAATAAAGATGCTATAGCCAAAAATGGAAATATCCTGTCCGGCTCATAACTAGAAAACTATTAGACCTAGAGCTTTCAAACTTGGCAAACGTATACATCTAAAGTAGAAGGTGTGTCGCAGCCTATTTCAAGGTCACTGTGACCTTTAATTAAAGTGAATTTTTTAAAAAAACTAAGTCTTTTAAATTCGAAATTTCATAATCCTAAAAAATGTAAAAATATAGTTGTATGCTTATTAAAAAACGTTAAATTAAATAAAAACTTATTTTTTCATTATATACTTTACAGCAATCTGTAACAAATGTTTATGCTTTGAGAGGAATTCAGTTTGTCCCATGGGCTTAATTATCAAGCACTGGTCAAGAAGAATTTTGATAGCAGAAATTTGCATGTCAAATTAGAGAGAAATTAATGAGTTTATTGTCAGGAGCTAAGAGCATCTCTAGATTTGATGCAGCTGTTATCTTAATTTATCTCTTGGGAGTTGGGCAAAAAGAAATGGCCTCATAGTTGCTTGTGTTAATTAAGAGTTCTTGATGGCTAGTCCAGATAAAGATCTTTCAATTGATGTTCTAGTGTATGATTAAAACTAAATTAGTATTGTATAATATGATTAAAACTAATTATACATGTGTTCATTGAAAAAAAAAATTATATTTCAATTTTTATATATTTGCGACAAATTGCAGTCATGTCTCACTAGAATTATTTGTTATAATCAATCCCTACACTGTAAGTCTCTTAGAGATGTATAATAAGAAATGGAAATTAGATAATTGAAATCTGTGTCAATCTGTTAATCAAGGCTACCTGATTTTCTTGCATCCTAACCAATGTATGATTATTGAACAATATTTGACGGGCGTATCATGCTGTGGCGGGGCACTTTATTCTTTTATTACTCAAGAGTTGAATATATCAGATAAAAATCACACACGTGCTTTTGTTTACCTCTCAGTCTGTAACACGCGCTTTATTGGTTTTCACCGCCTAGAGAATTCCATACGGGAGATCACTCTCAATGACTATTTTTATAAATGAAAAAGCCTAGGTATAAACCTTTTTTCTCCGGAAACGCTGACCTTAATTTAACTAGAAGACATTTTGATAGGGCTGTCACTCTCGCTTAGGGTACTGTACTTGTCTTTTACAATTTTAATACCTTTGATAAACGTGATAAAAGAATGGTATCCTAAAATAAATGTTTGAATTCTGTGAAGAATAAAATGAGAGAGAGAGAAAAAAAGAGAAGATAGGTAGATCAATGCAAATGGAAGTTGTGTAATAAATACTACTGGTATAGAAAGACATTCTATATCAGTAAACAGACTTCCTATATAAACCTGAGGATTCCTGGGAACTTCAGTAAGACATGCTGCAGTTCTTCGTTCCCCCTTAAACATGGCTCAATCTTCTAAACTAGCAATGTTTAACTTGCTGTGAAGATATCAAATATTAAGGAGTATTGTGATATTTATATCTCCATTCCAATCCCTCTATGTTGAAAGTCTTTTTCTGCCAGTAGAGATTTTTTTTGAAAACTAAATTGAAGACAAGGAAAGAAAAAACGATAAGATTTTAGATTTCTCTTTTTTTTTCAGATTTGCCAGACTTGGAATGATTTATTTAGAAGAAGGAGAGGAACTACATGAACTTCACAAGAACAACAGCTTTCTTTAAATGTCCTCATAAAATCAGAGACTAGGAATATTTACTGATTAAGAGTCTTCTTTACTAGAAATGTTTACTTTGTAGATGGTTATTTTAGCTCACCTGGGCCAAAAGCTCAAATGGGCTTTTTTTATCAAAATTTATTCTTTGTCTGTCGTTGTTTTCAGCATCAGCACAAATTTTTGACAATACTAATTTTCAAATTTTAGCCAAGAACAACAATGCAAATGATTAGAGTTATACATACATAAGATGTAGGGAAAATAGTAAAATTCTTAAGAAAACCAAAACCATGATAGTTGAAAAAATATAGAAACATTTTTAGATAGAATAGATTCAAGTTCAAACACATGACCCCCAGGGAAAAGAGTAGGGTCACAACGGGGGAACAGAATACTGTAACAGATAGGAAAATGTAGGAAATACCTTTTAATTTTTTTTTTTCAAGAAGGGCAGATCCGTGATTAGTCATATTAATTCAGAAGCATCTTCAGGTATGGAGATTCAAGTTAATTCAAATTATGACTCCCTTGAATAAAATAAGCCCAATTAGGCAACATTTCACAAGGAAAATATATTAAGAAAACCTCTTCTCAACAACAGCATATTATGTAAAAGGGATTATTTACACTGGTTGTTAAGTACAATGTATGTGTCTGTAACTGTCCAACATTACTATGGGCGTTACCAAGAAAAGGTCGAGTTGTTTACATGCAGAAATTATTACAAACAAACAAAACAATAATTTATACTGGTCATGAATATGTGCATTTTCCCTTAATTTCTATGACAGTTGCACAGTCAAAAGTGGAGAAGTGTGAAGAACTGCAGGTACATACACTTTAATTATTTACACACTCTCAAACAGCAAAGTGGGATCTACTTAATGTACTTAGCCGTTGTTGACAATTAACTCAATAGATATATTTGTAGTGACTTTATGTTACATTTTAGAATAATTATTTGAAATTAAGAGAGACATACACAAACATACAAAGGAAATGAGAATGAGTATCAATGTATTGAAGTTCTAATTGTCTGATGTTTCTTTAAGATATTTAATAAGATGTAATTTTCATTGCACAATAAAGAAAAAAAATTAAATTCATGGCCCTGGGGTCAGGGGTTCTAGTGCTAGGGCGGGGCTGAATAAGTATATTGTGAAAATGCATTTTTCATCTTCTTCTCTGCCCCTGGGTATTACAGTTATCTACAGTTTCACGTGTTCAATACCACGATTATTATACAACTAGTTCAACCATTCTAACAGAAAAGTCTAAAATAATTCAAGAACTTTGAGATTTTGTGACCATACTTGCAGGGTTATTTTATGAGGTCCGAAGCTTACTGCTTAAGGAGTGTAAATTTCCTCCTTGCATAAATAAACCTCTTTTACAATAATATGAACATATTTTCTTTCTGGTGGTGTAGGGGGGCGGGGCTCAATTGATTATATTATGAAAATACATTAAATCTTTGAAATTTTTTTTTTGTCTCTGGGTGTAAATCATCTCCCTCATTTCCCGTAAGGGTAGGGTGAGATCATTTACATTTTTTTTTTAGTTTTAAATATGCTTTCTCAGTTCAGGTGATTGATGTGGCCGAAATGCCTCTTTTTATGGAACAATAGTTGTTGAAGAAATATAAGTTCATGGATTCATTGTGTAAGTTGAATATTATGCTAGAACTGCACATTGTTGTTGCTTCAAAGAATTTTATGTTGGCTATAACAAGTTCTGTGAAGTGTACTCCAGTGAACCCAATGCAATCACCCCATCTTCATCCCATTATTGTATTTCAGTACATGTATCTTTATCATGTTTCCAAGTTAAAAACAATAAATTAGTTGTTTTTCAAATAATTATTCTGTTTTGACTTGTCTTGGTAAGAAATTTAAAATACACTGTAGTATTATATAAATATTACATGTAATTGAGTGTAACATTGAAACTTTTCACCCCAAGAAAACCATTGTCAACCAGGTGCATCCGAGGTTGACAATGGTTTTCGAGGGGTGAAAATTTTCAATGTTACACTCAACTACATGCAATACCGTATAATCCCTATTAACAGCCCCGGGCACTTAGAAAATTGTAAAAAGGGGGCAGTTATTTTGGTTCTCTATGTATGATATTTAATGTTATATTTTAACTTCAAAAAAATCTTTTGAAAAAAAATAAATACATGGAACCACTAAAATAATGTCTAACTTTACTTAAACTGAAGATAATCTACCCAAAATATGCAAAATTATTCATTTTCCACTGACAAATTGGATAATGGACAAGTTTAAATTCCACTTTCTTCAATATTTTGATACGATTCTCGTTGATTTTAATCACTGTACAGGGGGCCCTTATTTCATACAACTGAAAATACCCAAGGGGGCGCTTATAGGGGCAGGGGCGGTTAATAGGGATTATACGATATTATATTATACTGAATGTTTTATACAAATGCATATAACTGTGAACGGTGTGCGGATAAATTATGTGCAGTCGCCATTGTTTGGAATATCACCTGTCGTCAAGCACTGTTGACTGTTGCTACGCTGGAGGGCGTGGCTTCATTATTCAGCGGGTAATAGTGTTTTTTAACAAATGTTTTTTGACCAATCAGATTCAACTAATTTACATGAAAGTATAATATGGATAAATAATTCATTTTGATGGAACTAACTTACGAGAATGTTCACACAATGTGTAAAGCTACACTTCTTAATTCTAAATAAACTGCTGCAGCATCTCCCCTGCCACTCATTTCAGATATCACCATATGATGGTGAAAGTATTTACTCTGGACCCAGGGTAATAGGTATTTTATACTTTTGACCAAAGATGAGTGATAACGGTCAATGTATCTCCCCTTTCTGTCAATGACCCTGCTGATTAAGAACTGCAGGCTACATTAGGGCACATTATAAACTAGAAATATGTCCATAGGACATGAATGCCACGCCAGGTGTATATTAATAATGCAACATGAAGTTTTGTATAAGTGTTTGAAGTTTGATGAAAATATTTTGAACATTTGAAAATGAAATCTAAAAAATTGGATATAGGTGATAAATTGTCACCAACCTTGTCAGCAAATACAATTTATCATTAAGTCAAATGCTGACTGATGTTTTTCATACTAAATATTAGTTCATTATTTACACACTGGATTGTCAATGGATTTTCCCGATCATGACAAGGAGCACACGGCGAGTGTGACCGGTGGCATGGCATGATCACTCCACCATGGTACCTGATCCCACTTCTGATAATTAGGAGGTCCTTGCTTGCTCTGCTCCAATGTTTAATGGACTTTTGAGCCAGGCATGGGCACGATTACTGAAAAATGTAATCGCTAAATAATCGATTATTACTGAGAGTGCAAGGATGTGTCAATCAAACCCACCCAAAAGTTTCAATAACTTTAAGATGAAATAAAAAATTTTAATATATTTTTGAGTGAAATGTTATTAAAAATATAAGTTTTGATATTATACAGAAAATATTAACTTCAAATCTGTGTCCATGCACCTTTAATAGTCTCAGATTACTTTTCAAAAATGTTATTACACTGTACTTCCTTATAACTTTTGATTGAGAAGCGATAGGATTTTCATATTTAACTTGTGCATTACCTTTGACAAGATATTTCCAAGCAAGCTTTCTGACCACTTTACCCTCATGCGTGACCGAATTTTTCAAAATTCAACTTTTGAATGACATTTGATAGGGCTTTCATATTTCATATGCCGATAAATAATGAAATCTCACCCACAAAATCACCGAAAGCGGGGGAGCACAATTCTATGGATTTGCTTGTCATAATAAATAATGCCTCAGAAAAAAATAAGATCATTGTCATATTTTTTGTATTAGTTGTGTGTGCGTGTGTTTTGTTTTGTTTTATTTGTTTTTTTTAAATCATTATTATTATCTTGGTTGAAAAAAAAATCTTGCTAATTGACTCCTTATGTGTTCTAGTCGGGTCCTTGTGGTCAAAATGTGCTCCTCTGTACAGATTCTGGGTGATTTGGACAGCTGTTTCATTACTCTGTGGATATCTTAGTGAGGGTTAAATATGTCCGATATCTCTGCAACTGTCTAAATTCTTAAACCATGGCTTTACAAACTCTGAATCGTTGACATTATACAGGATTCTCAGTCTTGAAGAGTGTTGTTTCAAAATTCAGATTCTAAATGTGTAACCGTAGGTTGCAAGATGGAATCATCTAGTACGTAGGACAATGCATCTCCTAAAAGTTTGACGTTCTCTTTCACGCTCATTAACTCAATTGCTTATTCCAAATCATTGAAGACTTTGTCTTTTTGGTTTTGAGTTTTTAAAAAATATTTACATTTCCAAATAATTTTCCTTAAGATTCTTTGCAAATAGGAGCATTTTCTCATGAACTACCATGGATGCGCATGAGTATCTCCATTGTCACATCACAATACCGCACTTGACATAAAACTATACTTGCAAACTGTTTTACTTTAAGGTCAGACAACACGTTCCTCAATAATATATAAATTTTTCTAAGAATTTGTCATTAAAGTAAAGGTATTCAAATAAGTTTCCTCACAAAAAATTAGGGTACCTTACCAGGCATTTGGACAAGATACCACAGGGTCATATTTCTTATATATAACTCTTATGGGTAATCTTCTGAATGGCCTATATCACAATTTTTGGTGTACTTATATTTAAAAACATTTTGAAAACAATGTAGAGTTTGGAAGAGAATGACAAATTTGAATTATTTTTATATAATACTAAGAGATACAATACATATATTTTAGGAACGTGTCGTCTGACCTTAAAAATGACAGTTGAATGGCGTAAATTTGTGGCGACTCATCAGAAAAATAATGTAAATATAATAAATGAATTTTAATTTTTGAAGATTCATGAGGTATATGAACTACAACGCTTCACTCGTGAATCTTCAAAATTAAATTCATTTCTTAAACTCATGGCACCCAGGGGTAGGTTGGATCCACAAAAGGGGATCAATATTTTTACTTTGTAAAATCAAGGGAAAATAATTAGAATTCTTTTAAAAACAGAGGGGTGATGCACTTATAAGTTGCACGCTTCAATACAAGAATCTTTAAGTAGTACAGATTTGAAAAGTTGATCAAGAATATAGGACGAAAATGAGCTGTATTTCAAAATATGTAATCGTTACAAATCCTCAGGAGCAGTGTTGTGCTTACTCAAGGATTTGTCTATTTTTATTTTTTAATATTTAAATCATTGCTCGCAATCTTTAAAAAAAAACTAGATTCTAAATTGTTTTTTTTTTAATATATCTGTAGAAAAGAAGGTGTCACGATAAATAATACAGACTCTTGGCATATTTCCATATATGATGTATGTACTTTTTTATAAAACATAGTCTTAGAAGATAAAAGATATTAATAAATATGCAGGTATCATCAGGAGTTTTACAACGTATTCATTTTACATACATGGCATTTTTACATACATTCATCCCATTGTAATAAATAAGTTATTAAAATACTATACGTATGTCACTTGTTAAAGTCAGTAGTTTTTGCGACAAATTGAGCACTTGAAAAATTGCTTTAAACAAATTATACATCTGCACAGAAACTCATGTAACAAACTGAATTCTTTTTGAGTGAATATCATCGTTCCACGTGTACCCAACAGCAGACACAACAAAAAACAACAAACATAATTCAAATAGAACAAAAACGAAATTTCCACTTTGAATAGACGGTATGATTTTTGGATTGGAAAAGCTCCCATGATTACAGTCAGACTGCCAGGAGCGATTTCAGCATATCACAGCTTAAAGTTGTAACCCCAGTCACTCTAGAGTTTTTCAGAAGTCGTTTCATTATTTGTATATAATGCCCCTTTCTGATTAAGGTCCTGATTTCTGAATTCAATCCCGTACGGTCTAAGATGGTACACATAAAATTCTAAGGAGTACATGCTCTCTGGTTTAATATAATGAAACGAAATGGAATAGTCACTGATGCTCTCCACGCCCTGAAACAAAAAAAAATCATTTGTAGAGTGTGTAATGTATGATAGAGTCTACAACATGCTAATCTGGAGCTAGTCATGCCAATTTTTGTAAACGTGCAGTAAGCAGGCTTTCTACTCTAAGATGAAGTAGGAGGATAAAACAGAAGTAACCCAGTAATTATAAACAGTAGGGAAAAGTAGTAGAAAACATAGAAGTCGTAACCATCTTACGGTATCACCATCACCGTTGAAATTCAACGAACAATAATTAAAATATATATATGTGTATATTGTCTAGCAAACTACCTTCCTCATTTTTTCTTACATGCCTTAAGATATATTTTTATGAAATTATTATGCATCAGTTTGAAATCTGACTTGTTGAACAAGAGGCCCACGAGCCTTATAAGTCACCTGAGTATCATGTAACAACTTTCATGATATACAAATTGAAGTTTGTTCGTGTTTTAAACCAGAGACAAAAAAATTCACAATTTTGAACGAGACACCATTGCTTACATTAACTTTACACTTAGCATGCTTACTTTGGTTGCTTAATACCCAGAGGTAGATCAGAGTAACAAAGAAAAAATGCATTTCCATAACCAGTTTATAACCAGTTGTGCACCCCACCCCACAGAGACCACTGACCCTGGGGTCACATATTTCAAAATTTTCAAAAAAAAACATCTTTGCTCATCATGAGTGGTTGATTAATACCAAAGAGCAGATTTCATTAATTTATTTTCAGAATACTGGTATGTAACCCCCAACCACCCCTTGACCCGAGGGTCCTTAATTATTCATTTTGGAAGAGGCAAATTTCTTCATCATAAATATGTACTTAGATCATTCGCATATTACCCATGAGCAAATGAAAAGATTTTCAAAACATTCATGCATTTTTACTACCGGTATGTAATCATTGCCCCGCCCTAAAACCAGAACCCCTGGCCCAGGAGCCATGAAATTCACAAATTTGGAAGAGACATACTTTCTCATCATAACAATGGAATTGGTTTAATACCCATTAGCATAGAATATTTTTTTTAAGAATTGGTTTATTTTCATAATAAATACAGCCCCACCCAAATACAAGAACCTCTGACCAAGGGGCTACGAAATTCACAAATTTGGAAGAGGCACTCTTGCTCATCATAACTATATACATACCTAGTTTATTTAATACCCAGGAGCAGAGGAAAAGATTTTCAAAGAATTAATGAATTTTCACTATATAATCAATAGAGCCCCCCCCCCCCTTATATCTAACCAAATCCCCTGACCCAAGGGCCATGAATTTCACAATTTTGGAAGAGGCACTCTTGTTCATTATAACTATAGTTTTACTTGAAAAGAAAATGTAGGCGGGAACCGAGAGTTAGCGTGCGTATTTCTACAGTGTTCGAGTGGGGCTATATAGATCATGCAGCGAACGTGTATTATTTCTTTGAAAATCTTCATCTCTACTCCTGGGTAATAAAAAAACTAAGTACATAGTTATGATGAGCAATAGTGCCTTTGTCAAATTTATGAAATTCATGGCGCCTGGGTCATTGGTTCTGGTTGGGGGGGGGGGGGGGTCTATTGCTTATATAGTGAAAATACATTAATTCTTTGAAATTTTTCTCCTTTAACTTTTGGTACTTAATAAACCAACTAAGTATATATTTTTTTTACAACTTTATTCTTTATCAACCTTAAACAAGTACATACGACAAAACGTCAGAAATACTCAAGCTGTAGAAGGTCTATTAGGAAGTGTCATTAATATCCTAAAGTGGTATAAGATGAGGGCTGTTGAGTTCAATCTTCTGTTGAATAAACTACATGTGCTTGAAACAAAATTCATATATTGAATTTAATTAGAAGAAATATAATTAATAGTACTACTTTTAAAGATGAATTTACGTGACACACTCTCGGGAATACTTTGTCATAGTAACGCAGCCGTTTCTTAATTTAATGATTTTATTTTATGTAGACATTTAGTATACATCAAACTACATACGTTTTTTGTATTTTTTTGCTTAATGACGTACATCACATTCAATATATACATCAATCTAAATAGCTTGCTACACGCCTGTAGAAAAGTTTTTCAAAGTGAAGGGGTGGGGCTCCGGGCTTAAAAAAATCCACGTGACTACGGGTTCATCCATTGTTGCAAACCACGGCCAAATGTACGATCCTCTCCTACTCCGGACCGTGGCTTCAGACGATGGGGTTCATCTAGCTGAGCGGCATGTCAATTGATACATAAATCCGTACGAATCCAAAAAAAGTTAATATAAAATAGGTTCCGTTACCAAAGCTTACGAGAAAACGAGAATTTAACATTGATTTTGTGCTATTATTTTAATGTCACTCAAAGTACACATCATTTGCAGGCCCGTGAAAAGCAATTTCAGTTGAGGGTACAGCTATACATTTTCTGGCCATGCATTGTAGAATTTGTTAACGATGGGGTAACCGAGGATGCTTTGTTACAACGCACTTTGAAAAAAATTATCAAAGTGCGTTAAATTTGGGACCAAACCAACGCACTTTGAAAAAATAAATTTTCTTTTCAAAGTGCGTTAATATCGACCATATTAATGCACTTTGAAAAAAATATGTATTGCTAGGTCAATATTCTTGCAAATCTTAGGTATGATTAATTATTAAACACTTTGATAACTTTTCGGTGATGCGGTCACATCAGGATGTTAAAGTGAGCTATTTTGATTTTCCATACTTTGAAAATTCTTTCTCTCTTAAATGTTTACTGTACTTAATTTTTTTCTAGTTTGCATGCATTTTATTTAGTAGTAAACTAATTTATTGAAAGTTTTCAACGTCATACCGCTTGTATAAATACATGTATATATATTTGGGTGTAACATAGGGCTTAGTCTACAGAGTTTTGGGACATCCTCTTTTAATCCTCTCTGATTTAAGCTAATCTGTTTGCTTTTTACATTATGTATCTTCTCAACTACATTATATCTTTTATTTATGACCAAAAGCAGGATTAGTTGGGGGGTTAAAGTCAAAGTAGAAAAAAATTTGATATGGATAAAAAAATGTTTTGACTCTTTGTCAATACAATGCAAAATAAGTTCAATTCAAATATGAATTGTATTTGTGTCTTACCTGCATTCAAATGTCTGCAATAGATATAAGATGATAGGAGAAAGTAGAAGCAAAGGGATGGCAGTAAAGGATAGGCACCAGATCAAGCGAGGGAAGAATGCAAAAACATCCACAACCATTTACACGTCATTTCCTACCCAAATGCCGGACTTTGAACACTTTAAGGTCGCTCACAGAGGTTTTAAAACCAAAATAAATTAATACGAAAGGAACACTTTACAATTATTTTTTTAATTTCAGATATGCTAATTATGGTATCGATCTAAAAATAAAAAATAAAAGTTGCAAGCCATAAACCATGAAAGAATATTTTTAAGTAAATATGCAATTATAAACCTAGGGTCAGTTTAAATTTTGTAGTCCATTAAATATGCCATATGGTCGTAAGTGATAGACAAAGAATTCTAGTCCGTACATTTTACGAGGACCGACGTAGTGGAAAGAAATAGCATAATCGCTGATACTATCTAGCCCCTGGAAATATAATAATAAAATAATAATAATAAATATCATAAATAAATGAATAAAATATCAACTAATTAGATATAAAGGGTTCCAAGATGCTATGAATGTACACAGGTTAACATATGTAAGGGGCACAGAACACGATACAAGTGAAGAACTTTGACTTAAAAAAAATGAAGAAAAATCAAGATATAAAACCAAAAATCAAATGTTTACTACCAGGGTAAATAGAAACTACTGCAAAATATTCGTTATGCTCATTTTGTCAAATGAAAAGAAAATATTGTATGTAGTAAAAACAATATGCGTGATATTGAAATATAGAAACTTAATTTGTGCTTCGAATATTAAAGCAGAATACGGCTCGTAAATAGGTATACGCCATTTTCAATATTACTATCTACAATATCAGTACCGGGGTACACTCTTCACATTGGTTACACTTGACTGCTTTAATGGTGTGTCCCCATTTCGCCTTATAGTATTTATGAATATCATTATTTTATAATTTTTAGATTGAATTTAACAGTTCATGGGAATTTATGAATACAGTGAATGAAATAATACATGTAATACCAAGTTTTTTTTTTAAAAGCTTTATACTAAATATATTTAATTTTCATCAGCTTAATTCATCTTAAAACTTACTAAGGCGAAATGGGAATGCTAAATTTTACAGTTAAGGCGAGATGGGAACAAACCGCTTTAATTGTCGCGGATATTGGCGTGGATTGGGCAACCCGTGTTTGTGCTGGTTATCTTGCTTTACCTGTATTTACATTTTATTGCAGTTACGTGTATAGGTGTTGTTTGTATACTGTTTAGACCTTTGTTGTAATTTTCTTTGGCATCTTACTTTCCTGCATCAGAAGAAGCACAGTTATTTTTTTTTAATTGATTTTCATGTGTATTTTCATAAATGTTTGAAAATGCATTGATGTACCTTTAGCAGTTTTAATTTTATGGCGCTTGTCCACGAACTTTTTGAAACTCCTCGTAGCATATCTCGTAGTTTATAAAGGGTAAGAACATTCTGATGTGTATATTTTTTTCTGTATAATTAACCTAAAATTCTGAATAACTTTGTAAACCAATCTTAGTCCCTGTGTAGGAATTGTGCTGTTGCCCCATCTACCCCGGGCACTGATTTGAACAAACTGAAAAATGTGCATTATTTAATCTTGTCCTTGCTGTTCATAAAAGGAAGATTTTAACGATTTTTTTCGGCTATATTTCATCATGTATTTTATTTTATTTAATATTATTATGGTCTCATTTATCCCAGCAACCAATGATTCAAACAAACTCCAATATTTTAACGTGTATTTTTTCACTTTTTAGAAACGGAAAATAATTACCTTTCTGGCCCCGTTGGCGTCATACTTATAGTACCAATTAGGATATCCTCCGTTAAGATGGGTTTCTGGGTCGAAGCAATGAAATCGGCTCCTTCCAAGAGCGTCGGTAGAATTTGCTGTTTTAACCCCGAGGTTTTGCATGCATTTGCCCAGCTCGGCGTCCTCTGCTCCGCCATCTTGTCTACAAAACTTTGGATCTTGACCGGTTGTTCCTAATCTTCTTAATGTCTCCTTGCTGAGGATATACCCTGCGCCGCCACTATAATACCCCTGTCGAACTATCGTTCTAAAATGATGTCCAAAATAAACAGGTTCCATTTTGTCACGTGATGAAAGAAAATATCGGAGATTTTCCATTATAAAATATGTGTCATCATCCGCTTTCATAAACCAATCAGCTTCATCATAATAGTGGTCAAAGACATATTTGAATGCTCGCATAGTTTTTCCCGTCAGATGTTCACGGCCCTCTGATATATTAAGTCCAATCGTGGGAAAAGTGTTATTTGTAACAGAGCTGAAGAATATCAGCTTGGTACATCGTTTGCCCCAGGTTTTCTTCACATGTATTGCTTTCTTTTCAAGATTTTGTGGCCCTGTCATTATCCAACACAAGACCCGAATTTGTTCAGCCAATTTTCTAGCAACATTGTCATTATCTGAATAAAAGAAAATAATATCTCCCCCAGTTTTTCCAGGCAAATCCCTTCAATTGTTTGAAATGTACAATACAAGTATACTAAAATTTAAATGTTCCCTCATTTTGCAGTATTTCTATTGGCTTGAACAACATGTACTGGCTAAATTCTGAATACCCCTTAAATATAATGCATCCAAATTACAAGGATATTGACTCATTTAAGAATGACGTTTACTCAGGGTTTAAGTTTATAGAGGAAGGGTTAATGGTACATTGTACAAGTTACAAAATGTTAAATCAAAAATTGTTTGAAACAGACAAAATGACCAATTCATATAAAAACATCAATATCAAAATCTTTTTTATTCTTAAAATATATACATGTATTTTGTAAGATTGTTAATCTTAAAAAAAATAAGTTTCTTTGTTTTTGTTTTTCTTAATTGGTGCCTATATTATATTTGTAAGAACTCATGTATTACAGGGAAAAACCTTATTCTCCTTTTTTTTTATGACGGGGGCATAAAAACAAAAAATGATTGATAAATAGAAATGCTAGTGCTCTCAATGCAATTGTTTCATGTAAATTTCATTTAGTAATTTAACAAGAGGCCCACGGGCCTTATAGGTCACCTGAGTATCATGTAACAATTTAACTTTCCAACAATTGAATTTCTTTCATGTTTTAAACCAGATGCCATGAAATTCACAATTTTGAAAGAGGCACCATTGCTTATCATAATCATACATTAAGCATACTTACATGTACTCTTAACTGGTTACTTAATACTCAAAGGTAGATCAGAGTAACAGAGTTAATGCACTTCCACCTTATAACCAGTTGTGCACCCCACCCCAGAGGAACCACTGACCCTGGGGCCACATATTTCCTTTTTTTTTTTTAAATTATCATAAATTTTATTTCATCATAAATGGTTGATTAATACCAAAGAGCAGATTGCAAAGCCATTAATTTATTTTCAGACTATACCCCCCCACCCTCGATACCCCTAACCAAGGAGACATGAAATTAACATTTTGCTATGAGGCAACTTTTTTGTCATAAATAAATAAACCTAGATCATTGGCATAATACCCAGGCGCAAAGGAAAAGATTTTCCAAGAAAGAATTAATGTATACCAGTATTCACTTTATAATCAAAGGAGTACCCCCTCCCCTTTACACCAAATGGCAAAACTCCTGACCCAGGGGCCATGAAATTCACAATTTTATTTGAGGCACCCTTGCTCATTATAACTATATACTAAGTTAGTTTATTAAATACCCAGGAGCAGAGAAGATTTTCAAAGATTTAATGTATTTTCACTATATAATATATATAGCCCCACCCTAACACCAGAACTCCTGACCCTGGGGCCATAAAATTCACAATTTTGGAAGAGGCACTCTTGCTCATCATAACTATGTACTTATTTAGTTTATTTAATACCCAGGAGCAGAGAAGAAGATTTTCAAAGATTTAATGTATTTTTACTATATAATCTATATAGCCCCGCCCTAACACTAGAATCCCTGACCCTGGGGCCATAAAATTCACAATTTTGGAAGAGGCACTCTTGCTCATTATAACTATGTACTTAGTTAGTTTATTCAATACCCAGGAGCAGAGAAGAAGATTTTCAAAGATTTAATGTATTTTCACTATAAAATCTATATAGCCCCACCCTAACACCAGAACCCCTGACCCTGGGGCCATAAAATTCACAATTTTGAAAGAGGAACTCTTGCTCATCACAACTTTGTACTTAATTAGTTTATTTAATACCCAGGAGCAGAGAAGAAGATTTTCAAAGAAATAATGCATTTTCACCATATAATCTAATAGCCCCGCCCTAACACCAGAACCCCTGACCCTGGGGCCATGAAATTCACAATTTTGGATGAGGCACTTTTGCTCATCATAACTTTGTACTTACTTTGTTTATTAAATACCTAGGAGCAGAGAAGAAGATTTTCAAAGAAATAATGCACTTTTACTATGTGATCTATATAGCCCCGCCCTAACACCAGAACCCCTGACCCAGGGGCCATGAATTTCACAATTTTGGTAGAGGACTCAATGCTGATTACAATCATGTCAACAGTTTGACTGCTTAATGTCCAGGAGTAAAGAAGAAGATTTTTAAAGATTGCATTAATTTTAGTGGTTTACGCCCCACCCCGCAGGCCCCAGGGGGGCAGGGACCATGAAATTCACAATATTTGTTTCCCTTCACCCATAGATGCTGTATATCAAATTTGGTTGAAATTAATTCAGTAGTTCCAGAGAAGAAGTTAAAAATGTTCAAAAGTTTACGAACGACGTACGACGAACGACGACAGACGAAAACGGATAGCAATAGGTCACCTGAGTTTACTCAGGTGACCTAAAAATTGACACATTTTGGGTTTCAGGAATCAAAATGGAAATAATTTTACATATATGATTTTATAGATATAATTTTAAAAATTCGATACAAAAACTCCCCTATCCGTGGAAATGTAGAAGAACCATTAAATTGCTAGAATACATTGAGCATTTAGCTAAAATAAAAAAATGAAATTCAAGGCCCTTTTATAGTCCAGGATTCAAATTCTAGGCCAAGGAACTGCTAGAGATATATATAAACAATTTAATCCTTGGCCTAGGATGTTTGTCTGTCGTGCTAATATATACTTCAGTAATGTGCTTATGATTGCTATTAATTAACTAATTTTCTTGGAATTCTAGAGTAAGAAAAGTATTGCAAAGAACAAGATCATCCATATCCCCATTCTAAGTACTGTTTAAGTGTTATGTATGTATTGTCTTGCATTCTTTCTATGTCTATGGCTTGAATTATTTCCATTGTATCTTAAAGAGCCTGCGATTTTACTTCATGCTTCAGATCAAATACACTGTTTGATTCTGAATCATCTTATGGAAAGTGAAAACAAAGTTTTTTGAAGTAACCAGTATGGTTGTTATTGATACCTACATTGATTAACATATTAATTATAACAAAATCAAAGATGACAATTCAAAGGAACTTGTCTTTACAAGTATTAAACAGTCACTCTTCTCTGATGGATAGATCCCTTGCAGCACTAGCTATACAGTGTACTTAGCCTATTAGTTCAGTCGGTTTTCAATTCGAGGGTTGTAGGTTCAAACTAGTGTGTGGACTTTCCCTATTATCTATTTGATCATTTTGACATTTCAGTAATTGTGCTTGATACTAACCAAGATGCTTGTGTTCATCATCAAAATTCACCCCTCTGATGTCCTCTTGAGTGACCCGTTTGTCCATATCCTCGTGCATTTCGTCGTATGATTTGGCCACTTCCTGTAATGACCTTGAGGAGAGGTAGCTATCGAATTTTTCTGCTGCATACTTCCGGGTCACAATAAAGGGTGTTTGAAGTGAGGAAAAACTAGCGATGATAAATGAAATTACCAGGCCGACCGACAAACCAAAACAGAAATTAAGATGGGACGCGTGAAAACATCCAAGTGCTAAAAAGAAAACAAAGACAATATTAAATTGAGAGTTTTCTCCCAAGTTTCAAGTGTCTATATGTAAATTGACAAACACATCATTTTATAATTGTCAATGTGGTCAGTTAATCTAGGAATACATGTAATGAATGTCTTTTTTAATTTTGAATATTGTAAAGTAAATTGTACATAAAAGCATTTCTTATTTTGATCCAGAGATAGGGTAACCGGTTTTTCCCCGCGTCCCGCACTGGGATTCGAACCCACGACTTAAGGGTCAACCCCTGACTCCGCGACTCTAGAGGTTACACTCTAACCAATCTAATTCCAATAGAGAGTTTTTTTTAGCACGAGATATTCCCTTTTCGTCATCGTACTGGAGGCCAATAAGCCCCGATTCCTTCCTTAACTGGCCATGCTTGAAAATGTGATTATAACAGTTTTTCTTTCGAATTTCTTATTTATTTCATAATTTAAAGATTTTTGCCCCTATATTTCTGCCATGAACATGTTTACAATAGGTTTCTTAATAAGACCTAATACTCAGGCCTCCCGTCACAAAGCAAACGTCAGCTAGTTTGTACACCAGTCTACCGTAATCCGTACAAAAGTAGAAACTTTTGGACAACTGAACATACGAAACAAGGTTTTTTCTGTGAATGCTCTACCGTGAATTTTGCATATGAGTATGCGTATCAGTTAGCTCTGAGTCTCAAGAATGTCAGCTGTCCTGTGTAACGTGTACAAATCAATTCGATACCTCTCACTTTTATATTCAAGATTCAGTATATCTTTATTTTTTCACTTTCATGCCATAAATTTATCATGTAATTTTCTTTCAGGAGTAAATGATAATTTTATTTTAAATGGCAAAGAGTATTGGAGGACATGATATTTTTTTAATTGCGAAGTGTCTCACAAGCCAAAACTATAATCATTACCAAAATACTTAAAAGAATTTGAAATCAATTTTAAAGGATTCTGGTTATAGTAATATTTGGAGTCAGAATCAATAATTTAACAGAGCTTGGCTTATTAAAAGTTATAAACTACCAATTGAAACGGGAAGATGGGGAGATACTGAAAGGGTTAATAGAAAATGTTTTTTATGTAAAAATGATGTTGGTGACGAATTTCATTATATTTTATGCTGTGATAAGTTGAAAGATGAAAAAAAATGGTATATTCAAAATTATTATGTTTCAAGACCAAATGTTATCAAGTTTAATGATCTGTTTTCTTCTAAAAATGTTGGGTTATTAAGTAAACTTAATTTGTTCATTAATAAAAATTGTAAACGAGAAAATCATACATGTACCTCCAGGTTAATAACATCTATATATACAATTAATATTATATGGAAATATGATGCGATTATAAACACAATTTGTATATATATGAAACATGTTCTGCTCACGCATTTTGTTTATATGTTATATATTCTGCTCACGCATGCATATATGTTGTAATAATATGTTGCTTTAATCTCTATGTTGTTTAATAACAAGCAAAGAGATATTAATAAACTGGTAAATCAAAATCCTTTGGGTTTACTGTAAGCTTACCTATTGATCAAATTCAAACATTTTCATTTCATTGTGTTTTCCCACTTTTGTATGTTTTTCTTTCAATACATAAAATTCTAATGGGATGTTATACATTTATGGTAACCCCAATTTTTACTGGTATGTTTATACCCAGTTGTTAAAAAAGCAATTCATTTTCAAATGTTACTACTTATCTAGCATATAAACTACGTCGAGGGTTTATAAATTCCCAAGGTCATAAAATATGCATATACCGAAAAACAAATTTAAGAACTGGCAAGTAAGAGAATCATATGTCATAAAGGGTTAAGAACACTTAGTACTCGTTAATAATTCCTATCACTTTATGCCACTTAATTATTTAGTTATTCATAGTAATTTCCATGACACTTCTCAATTATTCAAAATCTTTGAAAAGGTGCATTTCTTGAAATAGAACCATTTCCAGGTAAGCTTGGACTTTCAGTAAGACGAGGCATTAATATTCTCGGCGCTGTGTAATTAGCGTCTGTCAAATGTCGAATAGATTCTTATTGGTTAAGAAATTAATACCATCAGAACCTTAAATTGTTGTTGATAACGACGAGACGACTTAAGCTCCACCTCTTTGCCGGATGAGGCAATGTTATTGGTCATTCGATTCACTTATTGGCATTTGCCCGAATTTCTATCCTATGTATATTTCTTCTTCTTCTTCTTCCCATACGAGTTTACTCTTACTAGAGCGTTGAACTCGGACTGTCACACGCGACGGACAAGGCTAAAAACCCGATAAGGGAACTATGTACTATAAAAAAATAAAAACTGGCACACTTAGTTGGTGTTGGTAGGCAGCTGGCTCCTTGTGTATGAGTCCAGCTGTGTCCGGAAGGACTAATGTTGGTGCTGAGGCAACTACAGATGGTAAGTTATTCCAGTCTAGAATTGTCCTCGGAAAGAAGGAATATCGATGTGCATCGATCCGAGTGTGTGGTAGACGGTATGTGTAGCTGCCTCTGGTCCTTCTGTCACTGGGTGTCAGGTACATATCTGCAGGGATAGCCACCAAAGCATGTTCAATCTTGTATAACAAGACGAGTCTTATCTTCATTCTTCTTGTTTGTAATGGTTCCCAGTGTAGATCTTGTAGCATCTGGGTAACACTCCCAGGGTGGTTATCATGGTAGTTTTTGGTGGCAAATCGTGCTGCTCGTCTTTGCACTTTCTCCAGCTGATGGACTTGCTTGGAGTTCCAGGGATCCCATGCTGCACAGGCGTATTCTAGAATCGGTCGTACTAATCCCTGGTATGCTGCGGATCCGACATCCCCTCATATTCCTCCTGATGAAGCCCAGTGTCTTGTTGGCTTTTGCTGTGATGTTACTGATGTGGTTGTCCCATCGTAGGTCTTTACTAATGGTGACTCCAAGGTATTTGCTGGAATCAACCACATCTAGGAGGTGCCCATGTATAGAATAAGTAGCGGTGATGGGTTTCCGCTTTCTGGTAACTTGAATAACAACACATTTCTCTGGGTGGAATGCCATCTGCCAGTCCTCCTCCCATCTGGTCAGAGAGTTGAGATCCTTTTGCAAGGTGACTGCATCATCCTTATTTGTGATGGGTCTGCAAGGGAGACAGTCATCTGCAAAAAGGCGAGTATCTTGACTGAAGAGTTGATCCATGGCTGGGAATGCCTATTCCTACTCAGTTTGGTTGGTACATGCTTCTGTATCATGTCTGTGACGTGGTTCTTAAACTGGGTCCATGAAACATTGATGTCATTATTTATCACTAATTCGGTTGCCAGGTTCTTCAAGCTTTCCTGGATTGCTTGTGTGTCGGCTCTCTTCCATAGGAAAATTTTCCTCTGCCCTGGTTTGGCCAAGATAGGTGTAATAAGTGTGTCCAACATAACAATGTCATGGTCACTTTTGCCCAATGCTGGCAGAAGCTTGCACTTCTCTACTAGGGAAGAGTGGGAGACAAAGAAGAGGTCAAGTGTTTTGTCATCTCTGGTTGGAAAATCTACAATCTGATCCAAGGCTAGGTCATCCTGCATGTTGCAGTACTGGTCAGTTACTCTTGTTGGGACTGATCGACCAGTAATTTGACTTTTATATCAGGAAGATTGAAATCTCCTCCAAGTAATTTGACTTTATATCAGGAAGATTGAAATCTCCTCCAAGTATGAAGTAAGAACTCTTGTGTTTATTCCGAATTTCAGTGATATCGTTGATTAGCGAGAATGTATAATCGTCGTCAACCCTGTTTGGTGGCCTGTATGCAGCACTGATGATTGCTGATTTGCTGTTAAGGAGGTCAACCTTGATGCTGATCATCTCAGCTTCTTTCCCACAGTGGACTGCAGAACTGGTAAGATTCTGTCTGACAGCTATCAACACACCACCATGCGGATCCGAAGGCCTTTCCCGTCTGTATACTTCGTACTCACTTGGGATAAACTCTGATGAGGCCATGTCAGCTGTTAACCAAGTCTCTATTTCAACAGTGAAGGACAGCTGCGTAAATTTCAGAAGCTAATTATGTAACGTCGAGAATGCCCCACCTTACTGAAAGTCCAAGCTAAACTGGAAATGATTTTAATACTCAAAACTACAGGTTACTGGTTACCAGCATTGCCCGACAATTAATCGCACAGATTTGGCAAGAAAAAGATTAAGCAAAATTAAATACAAAATCACTGAATATGCAAATTAATTTCTTCACAGTAATTGGCACTTTGCCTCTGTGAAATTTACTGGGATAGGCCAAAAGTGGGATTGAATCAGTCAAATATTTTAAATACACACACTTAAAAATATTGACTTCTGGGAGGAGGCCTTCCTGTGGTTATAGTGAGCACTCCCTCCTGACCGCCTGAAAAAATAAAAGATGATTTCAGGTGCTCCCACTTCCTCAACCTCTACCTTTTGATATACATAACATAATTAATTCATGTCGCTTCATGTGTAGATCTATAGGTGTCTATAGAAACACACACAGATAGCTATATTCACAAAGCTTTCTGGAAAGTTGATTTTACTGTTCGTCTTGCGGTACACCAATGCAACTTGAGGAGCACGTTTATTCAGTTGGTCAGTGGGACGACTTCTCAACGGTTACTTTTATGTTCCTACTCTATATGAATGGACAGGCAAGTGCGGTCAAAAATGTCAAAGGATGATTTATCACTTGTCCAGTAAAACTAATATATATGCATTGCTTTTCAAACACACCTCTGTTCTATCAATTTTTGACCCCCTGTTTCAGATATAAAAAATTTTAAGATTTAAAACAAATGACAATGCTGTACCAAATTTTGTTTAATACTCACAAGTATATTTCCTCTTAGGATTCGAAAGTAAGAAGAAAGTAACTGTAAAATTAGAAGTTACATGTACTTAGCAACACATTTTAAGGCTAGCTTTCTCTTAGCTTTATTCAAACACGTTATCTTACAACAAATAGAAGACAAGCTTTCTCTTAGCT